TGAGAGGCTGAAGTGGGGCTGTGACCCACGTAAGATTAGTAAACAGGTCCAGGTGTGGTTCAAGAGATAAGATTAGATTAGATCTTCGAGACCTAGCCAATAAAGAAGACAACAGCCAATAATCAGGAATACATATTGTCAGGAATCACTACCAGAAACAATTTTGCATGGCCCTAAGTCACAGGTTGGTATGGCCACTAAAAGTCTTGCTGGAAACTTTACAACCTGCGTTCCTCGAAACTGTTGGTCTTTATATATTGATAATCGAAGAACTTCTTTCAAGGCTTTAGACAACTTAATTTTTAACTACCTTTATCAACTACACATTCTGGTAGAATTAATATGAAAGTGGGTTTTCCGTGACCCGATAGTCCCATTGGCCCTTAAAGGCATTCTTGCAGTGAGCACGGATCAAGAAACCCACTCTTTTAGCTCTGACTTTCGCAATAATTCTACCGGCCATTGTAGAATATTTCTCTTTGTCTTTAATCTTCATTATACGATATAGCTATACTTGTGTGTCCTTATGTACCTATATCAGGGTGTTGTTAAATGATGCGTTGGTATTATATTTTGGCATTCATGCTAGCAAGGATCAACCAAATAGGTGTTTGGTTTGCTGGCTCTCCTGTATTATAAGATTAGATTTTGGTCTAGAAATGCTGTGATCATATTTGACTGCTGTTCCAATCCAAATCAAAGCTGATTACCGGGTCCTTCAAACAGACTGTTTGCTTCCAAATTACTGGAATACAAGCTATTTCATCATATAAGCCGACGACCACCCAGGCCCGGAATTTAAGTTCAGTTTAGGTTTTCTCCATGTTTGTACATGTCGAAATATAGATTTTTGGGTGTTGTAAGGTCAGATGTTACTATCATGTAGCGACACCCTGGGGGATATATAGCTTCAAGCTTCTAGCAGTGTCTTGATCGCTGAGACGCCCAGTAACCCAGGTGCAAAAAATGGCTTGTCTGAACCCACATAAGGCCTGTGATACCAGTGGTTCTAGATGCTTGGCGAGACCAGGGATATATAAATGTATGATCTATACACATACTCCTACCACCACCTCCACCTAGTTCTTCGTAGCGTATTAGATGACTACAAGTAGGTATATTCGACTTTCTTACTTTGATCGACAGATGTAGATAAAGAATCAGATTATCAAGATATCGATGTTCTTTAAGAATACTTGATATCGAGAAGTCATGGCCGCCTTTATCTGAGCTAGCTTGAACGTAGTATATTTGAGATATATATGTAGACATTTATGCGTAGTATAGTGATGAAAGGGCGAAGTGGGTATCGGGATACGTACATATGTGTGATAGGACTAATTAAGAGCTGAGGCCGGCCTAGGTTTCAAAAATAATAAAGGATTAGCTACCCTCTCCATGGCACGGGATAATTGATGCGCAATTGAAGCATGGCATAATTGATTGTGATCAATTAGCCATCGGGATTAACGTGATTATCGAGATATTCATTGCCTCCCGGGCCCGTTGTTATTCCTAGTATACTGCATGTACATGTAGTTACCCGACGTTTAGGACTCTAGAAGTTCTTTCAATTATAGCTTATTAAGACGTTACCACAGCAGGATAACGGGTAAAAGTAAGTGAGTGATATTACATGATGGAGCTCTTATATGACCTGCATAATAAATAAGAATTATAATAAAGACCACATATGGGCGCATTTTAATTCCTTATCCATGGTTTGTTAAAGCTCCTACCCGTATATACTAGGTTTCGGTCCCCGAAAGCTTTGTAGTGGAATATACATGCATCGATGCATCTCCCAGATATAGATGGGAAAATTTAACCACATCCATCTGCATCAATGGGTGTTCAAAAACAAAACCGTGCATACATAATGTCTGAGAAAGCTGGCCGGCGAATATGGATGTGGGGTAGTATCGGAGAGGTTTCCACATGCATAAAAAATATAAACACGGGTGCCGTACGCGTGGTCGCCGGGTGATAGCCGAAGCACGGATCATGTTTCGGTACATCTCACAGATCACCAAGACGGAGAATGAGGCTTTATCGAGATGTCACTTGTGCTCTAAGGCAGTAAGACCCGCAGGGTGTTCAGAAGATACACAAGTGGGTAGGTGGGTATCGGGTCGTCAGCATACTATTAGTTGCGTTTTTAGAGGGTATAGAGCACCTACTCTATGTATAACCAGGCAGCAAATAGGGTATTTCTATTGAGTACAATAAATGGCAAATATTAGACTAAGGTTTCGCAATAGGTGATCTAGTAAGACGTCAATAAGGCAGATCAGCTCGAATATCCCGTTGCTGCAAGACCATCCTGTGGGAGCAGGTGGGAGTCAGGGATAAAATCAAAGACCTGCATTAAGATCTTCCCAGTCTAACACTTAGAGGGAAGTACTCACGAAACAACGTGGATTGGGCTTCATTCCTTGCAGTGCCTTGCTGAGGAAGTTTCACTCAATGCTTTTGCAACACGGTGCTTTCTTTGTGTCAATGTGCTCACTAGTCCGAACTACCCGGGAATACGAATTCATGGGATGAGAATATGTCGGTTGACCCGATGACAGGATTAACTGTCAGTATTGAGACTATGATAGGGAGAAATGTTGTATCATGCAAACAAATTTTCATTGATGTGAATGTTAGTTGGTAGACTCGGGTCCCAGCCCTATTTCCTTCCCCAGATATCCATCCGAGACAGATAGAAACCCCTGATTCGACCCCACATTATTTAATTCACTTTTACGCCGTTCGATTAGTTGAATACGTAATTGGACCACAGGACTTGTTGTGATGCGAAGATTAGACTTTTTTCCTTGTCGGTTTTCCCCCTCAATTACGTACCAAAAAATTCTGGAAAGTATAGTAGGTAAATTTATGCAGGGGAGGTATGTTCCTATTTGCTTGAAAATTTTCAGGTCCTATTACCACTGTCCAGATGACGAGGGAGTTCGTGTAAATTTCGTCTTGTTTGCTTTTCTACCAGTTCAGCTAGGCAACCCCAATATCAAAGAGCCTCAGGAGTCAGGCCAAGAAGGGGAGCTGTGTAAGTAACCCTGGTAAGAGATCCAAACTCCGGGTATTATGGGGAGTGTCCTCGTGGACGATCCTACTGGGAATGCACAGGCAAGAATTCACGATGCATCTCAAGTGAAGACTCTAGACTTCTTCTTTTGCCCATCAGAGACGCGCGACAAGGTTGAGTTCGGTTGGCGTCGGCGTATTTAGACCTTTTTGAGGCTTTTGTGGGGGATTGCGCTTAGTAGGTACAGATCAGCAGAACAAGGAGTTCGGAAGGACAAGCGGGCGGGGAAAAAATAGTGCGTTTTCTCGAACCGATCAAAATGATCTGCCACGGGGACTTGATCTTCTAGAAGGCGGCCTTGGGGGGAATGTTTGTCTTGAGTCTAATTTTACTTATCGTAGATAACAAAGCATGAGGCAGCTATTCGGACTCTCCATGTTGCATTATCTTGATTGAGGTTGCTCCATTACAGAATTCCATTGAGCCTCCTGAGCGGTTTTGGGGGTCCAAAAATAGGCCCCTTCAGCTACATGTAGTTAGCCAGCATGCACGAACCAAGACCCAACGACTCGGTCACGAGTGGGTGCACGATGCTTACAGCTGCCGTTAGAGGAGAACAGGAGGCATTTTTCCCTCTTTGTCAGGCCTGGGGATTGCCTCCCATATTCCTTGGAATGTTGGGATGATTGTCATATTTCAGACATTCATCGTTTCGAATAAAGACGGATTTTAACCATTGAAGGAACTATTCAATCCATTAGTAACGATTGAAACCTGGAGGAGCTCCATCGTTAGATTTTCGTTGGAATTCGTAGCTCTCTAACAAGAATCATGACAGTCATGTGTTCTGGGGAAGCTCCGTGCGGAAATTAGAGAACGATCACGTTCGCCCCCATTTGAAGTAACAGCTAGCTGAAAGCAACAGTCACCACCAAAACCCCTTCCAATGGAGGCAAAAGCGGCATCGTGAGATTGTCTTAGTCGAGTTGTAAGTGCGGTCAATGAGCTTTTTTTTGAGCTTTGTACTTTGTCAGGGGGCCAATTGTGGAGGCAAAGGCAAGGGCAACATCGTGAGATGGATCGGAGAAGAAAGGTCTCGTGGTTGTCGGTGTTTGTTGTTGGGATACACTTTGCCGAGAATTTACGGAGAGTCCTGCTGTATCTGGGATCCTGATTTGGTTCCTGAGCTGATGGGATCGCTCGCGGGCCGTCACCATTGCAGGATAGGACGGAGACAGGGAACCAATGGCCTCAGCAGCTCTAGCAATGTGGGGGAAAGAGTTGTGGTGGAGTCCAGACACGTAGAGGATTCATACATGGTGTGCTTGGTACATACATGTATGCAAATCCTTTCTTGGTAGGTATATAACTAAGGTCATCCGCCGCCTGTTTTTCATGAGAGTTATCTGCCATCACACAGAACAAAGTCTCAGGAAGTTTGGTCGTGTGTTTCGTTCACACGGTTTCCTTTCATCTTTGTCCCCCATCTCTCAACTATCAATCTCTATCTTTCTTGAATCTCGCCGAATCTCTCCGGCCTGCATAAAGCTCTTTGTTTCATCACGGTAAGTCATCATCAAATCAATTGGTTCAGTCATCCTGTGTGAGATTATCTTCCTATGCCCTGTTCGAAGCAAAGATAGTTAGCTCTATCCTGTATAAGATCTTATCTTCTTTAGACATCCCTGGAATGTATCCAGTTTTGTCTTAGGTGGAGCGAGAGCTATCAGATACGCAAAGCCACCGTTTTAAACAGCTTATAAAGAGATCCCTTTCTGCTCCTTTCCTCGAAGCTTCATCTTAATTGTTCATTTCTTGTGCTTGTTATCCTCATTGGGACTTTAGTACTGAACATATAGGTTTGAGGTAGTTACATCGTTGAACTGCCCCCTCCCCCACCAAGCAACGTTACCCCCGCTCAACGGCAACAAAGTATCGCCTTCATCAATATTGACAACTTTAACGCAATATGGCATCCACAAACCTCGGAACCCATGCGGATATTGCACGATTCAATACTCCTAGCCCCCACCCGACCCATTTGAGCATCCAAGGAAAATATAACCAACGGGTTTTGAAGGATGACGCCTCGGGATATGTCGCTCCTGTCTTCGAAGGAAGGGAGAAGCAGATGGAAACTGGTAAATAGTCTTCGCTACACTCTTTGATTTCATTATGAAATTAAATGGATTGCTGATTCGGTGTATTCTCAGTGATGGATTTGTTGGAGGAGAAGGGTTTTATTCCTCCAGAGTTCGTTGAGAACGAGACTAAGTGGTTTTACACTTCTCTTGGAATTGATGGTGAGTATTTGCAGAATTTATTATCCTTTGAGCCAACAATTGAACTAACTGATTTTTAGACATGTACTTCCAGTCCGAGGCACCTGTAAGACCCCAACCATTGTTTTATCAATAATTAGATTTATTTTGAATTGCATTGACATAAAATTGGTTTTATTTCTTTAGGAAACAATTGTCAACCATATTCTCTCCTTGTACGCCGGGAAAGTTGCAGCATTCTCTAGGGATGATAAGCGCCTTGAAATCCGCTTGGATAGGGAAGCAGAAGGTAGGTTTTCAGGCGCATTTTAAGAAATTCGTAAATTAATAATTTTAGATCATGCCGTATATATCGACACATCCACTCCAGGTATAACAGTTCTATCTGGCCCGAAGTACGAGCAACGTATCGATGAGAAATATCTGAACCCTTCCAACCCCGAGAAGGCGTACCGTGTCGAATCTTTTCGCTCATCATCTCAACTTACATCTACAAACCAACAACTACGTTGCTACTTCGTGTACAAGTGTGACTTTGTAAACCCTAACCCAGACCCTACAGAATCTGACCTGGACGTTGTTTCGGACAAGTCCTTTTTGCAAAAAGTCACTCCAAACACAAAAGGTGTCTATCAAGATGTGGTTAAAGCAGTCATTGAGAGGACTGGGCCCGTTATTGAGATGTTTGAGGTTCAGGGAACCAGAGAGAAGAGACTTGTTATCGGTTTCAAACAAGGGAGTTCAATGGGGTTGTTTTCTGCGCTGAGCGACCTATACCATTACTATGGATGCACCTCGGCCAGAAAATATGTTGGTATGATTACACTTGAAAGAAAATTTTCCGACTGGTTGCTGATAAATTGATAGAACAATTTTCCAATGGTGTAACTGTTATGTCCATCTACTTGCGACCCTTACCACCAAACACCCAACTTAACCCTTCAAAATATCCTCCTATCGAGGCTTCAATCTACCAGATAATGAAGGAAGTCAGCTTGCTTTATTGCATTCCTCAAAATATGTTCCAGGCACACTTCATTAGCGGAAGATTGAGCTTGCAGGAGACTATATATGCGCACTGTGTTTGCCATTTTGTCGGTCATTTCTTGAACAGACTGGGAACAGAGTACACCGCCGTCTCTCAGCTCCTCGATCCCAACAACAGTGTCCATGCAGACACTCTCAACAAGCTTAAGCGTCGTCTTCGTACAGAGACCTTTACCGCTGATTACATTTATGAGATCATCAACGAACACCCTGAACTTGTTCGCGCTCTATACTTGGCATTTGCCAATGCACACTATGTACAGACTCGTGGGGAGCAGGATGATTTCATTCCGACTCTGAGTTACCAGCGTCTGCAAGTGGATCGAGTTTTGACAAACAGTGAGTTGAAGACGAAGATTTCTAGAACTGTCGGCAATGAGCACCAAGAAAAGGTCATGCAATATTTCATTACCTTCAATGAGAATGTGTTGAAAACCAACTTTTACACCCCTACCAAGGTAGCGTTAAGTTTCAGACTGAACCCCAAGTTTCTTCCGACTGTTGAATACCCTCAACCATTGTTCGGAATGTTTTTGGTCATCGGATCAGAGTTTAGAGGGTTCCATCTGAGATTCAGAGATATTGCTCGCGGTGGTATCCGAATTGTCAAGAGCAGGAACAGAGAAGCGTACACAATTAACGCTCGCTCAGTTTTTGATGAGAACTATAACCTCGCAAACACTCAACAACGGAAGAATAAAGATATCCCCGAAGGTGGAAGCAAGGGTGTCATTCTATTGGATGCCAATCATCAGGATAAGGCCACGAGTGCTTTCCAGAAGTACATTGATTCTGTTCTCGATCTTCTCCTTGAGCCAAACAGTCCCGGAATCAAGGATCCTATTGTTGATCTCCACAAAGAGCCCGAAATCCTGTTCATGGGGCCTGATGAGAACACCGCTGGGCTTGTTGACTGGGCGACCGAGCACGCCAGGGTCAGAGGTGCTCCTTTCTGGAAATCCTTCTTCACCGGAAAGAGCCCTAGCCTGGGCGGTATTCCTCACGACGAGTATGGAATGACATCCCTCAGTGTTCGCGAATACGTTCTCGGTATCTATAGGAAATTGAACCTCGACCCCTCCAAAATGATGAAGCTGCAAACTGGTGGACCTGATGGTGATTTGGGGTCTAACGAGATCCTATTGAGTAACGAGAAGTATTGCGCGATTGTTGATGGTTCTGGTGTACTGGTCGATTCTAAGGGTCTGGATCATGAAGAGCTTCTCCGTCTTGCCCGGGAGCGTCTCATGATCTCAGAGTTTGACATTTCCAAGCTATCCCCCGAAGGCTACCGTGTTCTTGTGGAGGACGTCAACGTTACTCTGCCAAGTGGCGAGATCGTTACAAACGGCACCATCTTCAGAAACACCTTCCACCTCCGAAGTGATATGCACTATGATGTTTTCGTGCCCTGCGGCGGAAGACCAGAAGCTATCGATTTGGGCAACGTTGGCCAACTGATCAAAGATGGAAAGAGTATCGTTCCCTTCATTGTTGAAGGAGCGAACCTTTTCATCTCCCAGGACGCCAAGTTGAGACTCGAGAAGGCGGGCACTATCCTATACAAGGATGCTAGTGCCAACAAGGGTGGTGTGACAAGTTCGTCCATGGAGGTTCTTGCGTCACTTGCCTTTGATGATGCCGGTTTCATCGAGAACATGTGCGTCCGCGACGGTGTCACTCCAGAATTCTACAAAACCTATGTCAAGGAGGTACAAAAGACCATTCAGAACAACGCACATCTTGAATTCGAAGCCTTATGGCGTGAAGCTGAGGAGACTGGGAAGCCACGCTCAATCTTGTCTGATGAGCTCTCATTGGCGATCACAAAACTCGATGAGGAGCTCCAGCAAACTGAGCTATGGAACAATATCCCTCTCAGAACTAGTGTCCTCAAAGATGCTCTCCCAGCCAGCTTAATTGAGAAAATCGGCCTCGATGTCATCCTTACCAGGGTACCATTAAACTACCTCAGGAGCATTTTTGGAAGCTACTTGGCATCCAGGTTTGTATATGAATTCGGAAGCAACCCAACTCAATTTGCTTTCTTTGAATTGTAAGTCTATCCCCACCCTAACATGATTCATGGCTGCGAAACTAATCGCGAATCCCGATATAGCATGACTAGGAAGTTGCGAGCTCTCGAAGCATAAGAATTTTTCTGTTCGCACCACCAAGTTATACTGTTAGAATGCTTGTAATGACCATTTCGTTGTTGTTGATATGATTCTGTTTTAAAACGATGAATATGATGGAGGGGTTGGGTTGAATGGCTTTTGTTTTTCCTTTTTATATCTTGCAGTAGCATTGTGTGTATTCGCTTTAGAATCGAAACAGGTAACGGGGAATTACCAAAAAGATGAGCTCGTGTAATCCTTTTGCGTCGTCAAGTACATATGTGGTTTATCTGACTGATCCGCATGACTTCAACTGTTTGTTGATTAAGTACTCCGTAGGACCCCGGATGTGAACGCGAAACTCCCCGTCATATTAATACTCGTGGCGGGAATTCCACCGAACACTCCGACTCTCAAAGTTCGTGAAGCAGGAGACCTACCATGTGGTTATTACATACATCATGCGCTCCGACAGAACGGCTCGGACAGAGACCTCGTTTCTGATGCACCCCGAAAAAAACACCCGCCCTCCCCTCACCCCACGGCGGCAAAAAGCCCCAAACATCAGACGGTGATCTATTCTGCCATAGGGCTGTAGGGTAGACTTAATCCTCTCTTGGCTTGGATCCGCGCCAGGGCCTGTCAACTGCGCTGCGGAAAGGGAGGCTCGGAGCGAATGCCACGCCCCGTTAGCTGAGTTTTTCCGGCCGAGTTTTTCCGCTTGAACCCTGACCGTCATCCCGGGATGACCGTTTGTCAGGGTCAGGGTCAGGGTTGGGGTTGGGGTGGAAACGAAGCTCGATTGGGACCAGCTATGATATTGAAGCCCTGGTCAATTAGTGTCGTGAATAGTGGTGAATCCCCGTTAACTTTAGTAGATGACATTGAGTTGTGAACATGGGGGGGCTTGGTTCTCGGGTAGGTGCTGGCTCTGCAGTTGTTGGGGAGGATGTTTGGAGGTGTTTGTAGTTGTGGTATTCAATGGGTACTGCTTGGCTTGTGAGTATGGCGTTTCTGTGTAGAGTAAAGAGGTGAGTTAGTGGGTGGCTCCAAGTGACGGTTTGTTCGGTCGAGTTATGGAGTTGATATTTACCTAGGCTTGGTACTGGTATTACCCAACACCAACATCCAACTCGCCCCAAGAGAGGAATTCCCAAAGACCAAAACCAAAACTAAAAGAAAAGCAGCAGACACACTGGTTAACAAGCCACTCTTCTAGTTAAATCTCGGTTCTACCCACCTCGGCGGATTGGAAGTCTGGAGGTTCAAGTAAGGGTAGTATGTCCTCCAAGGGTCCAGGGTATAAACGTTGACTTCTCACCACCGCACCACCAACACCACCCTGGCTGGGTGAGTGACAACGTCAGTAAAAGCTCTCTCAAGATACCCGACATCAGGCATGGATAGGCCTGTATACTACCCGCCGCTAGCTAGCTAGCTGGCTAGGCAAAGCAAACGACAGTTGAATTCTGTATGTCTGTGCACGATCTGGATCTGGATTTAGATCTAGAATGTTTGGAGATGGAACGATGATGGTTTGCAATATATATAAATTTAAACACTATGAAAAACACTAAGGTAAGGACTGGAGATATTTTTACATGCCATGGACGTCTTTCTTACAGCTGTCAGTCTCCGTACACACTTGTATGGGGGCTGGTTTTTTGTTTTGAAACGAGTTCAATTTTTTCTTGCCTTTCTACAACCTCCGAAACAAACTGACTGTGAACTGTGGGATAGAAAACAAACAAAGGAAAATAAAGTAAATGTATGCGCGCCTCTCCGCCAATCGATCAATCAACCACCACAACTCGACTCTACTTTCCCGCCGAAATAAATGAATGTATGATAAATAAACCAAGGAAAAATAAGGAAAAAAAACACTCCCAAACCTTTCTTTCACCTCTCAACTCCCAGATAATACAGAAAAGAAAAACAAAAGGCGTTTAGATACCAGAATCATCCTCGACAAGTCCAGCCGCGGTCTGGTAGGACGACCAAGCAGTGCAGGTCTCGTTCAAGCTGTCGTAGTCAATGAGCGTCTTGATCTCATCATACCTCTCCACAAACTGGAGCGCAAAGCCCTCGCTTGTGTGCCATCCGATATGGCAGTGCATGAGCCAGGCACCCGGGTTGTCGGTCTGGAAAGCAAGGACCAGGTATCCACCGCCCGGCAGCATGGCAACATCACGACGTGGGGGGTTGGCCGTGTTGAGGGTAGGGGCGGTATCGGCATAAGTACCGGTTCCCTGGGCGAGGATGAAGAAGTCGTGGCCGTGGAGATGGATCGGGTGAGGAACGGTGTTGGTGGTCTCGATGATGAAGTAGGCCCACTCGTCGGCAGTGGCGAGCTCGATAACACCGGACTGGTCGGCCCAGCTGGATTCGCCGTTGTACACCTGGAGGAGGGTAGGGTCGGCCCATTCAACGGCCATGGTGGTGCCGCCGAGGTACCATTTGAAAAGGTTGCCGACCTTGCCGATAGTGACGGCAAGGTCGTCACCGTCATCCTGGGAGCCGACGGTCTTGGAGACATAGGGGACAAGGTTGGTAAGGTCTTCATCGTCACAATCATCGGTTTGGGTGTAGGCAGATGTGGTGGGGTCCGAGGTACTGCTAGAGTCGTAGCGGATGATACCGCGAATGTTGTCGGTATTATCATTGTCGGAGCAGGTGGTCTGCGGGATAGCGCGGAGCCAGTAGTCGGCGGTGGCTTGGTCGGCCTCGACAATGATATCGTAACGCTGGCCAATACCAATGCTGAGGACCTGGGTGGTGTAAGGGACAATTGGAACCAAGTCTGTAGCGATGACAGTGATGTTGTGGCTATCAATTGAGAACTTGAAGTGGGTGTCGATGGCACCATTGACCAGACGGATCAAGTACTTTGTTCCAGAGACAAATTCCATCTCGAAGCGGGAACCACCATTATCATAGACGTTGGTACCATTGATGAGAGCATTGTCAAGAGTTGGGGGACCGCCGGTCTGAGCTTGAGTGTAGAGAGCATCGGAAGTCTCGTGAGACCAGTCGTTAAGGAACATGATACCCGCATCCTCATCGTAGTTGCCAGTGGCAGGACCGTGGATGATGATACCGCCAAAGATACCCTCCCAAGCCTGGAGGGCAAAGTGGGAGTGGTACCAGGTGGTACCGTACTGAGTGGCTCTCCAGGTGTATGTGGTGCTCTCACCAGGAGCGACGGGACATTGAGTGATTGAGGGAACACCATCCATCTGGTTGGTGTAGTTTTGGCGGATTCCGTGGAAATGGATACCGGTTCCATTATTTGTGAGACTGTTTGTGACATGGACAACTAATTGAAATCATTAATATTTTGTACATCTAGCAGGAACCCATTATCATTGTCACTTACCAACGGTATCACCCCAATTGGCCTCAATGGTAGGACCCGGGAAGGATCCATTGATGAGAAGAACTTGTCTCTCATACCCATCCGGCGAAGCCGTGGTGTTCACAAGATCAAAGTAGTACTAAATTTTCCTAATGTCAGTCTCTAACAACCATATCAACGCATTGGATATCTCATACCTCAACAGTAACACCGGTATCCGGGACCTCATTGTAATAGTCGGTCGAAGTATCATAATCGCCCCAGCAGGACCTGTCGGTAGCAGAATTGACACAACGCTTGCTGATCAAGTGCGAAGCCTCAAGAGGTGCAGCCTGAACTTGGACTGCTCCAAGAGCCAGTGCACCCAGGAGTGCAAAACGAGAAATGATACCCATGATCAATTGGTGGCCAAGATGAAAGTGAGTGAAAGAGTGAGTGAATTGAATATAGAAGTGGGAAGGACAGGGAAAAATAAAAAAGAGAAGAGAATGAAGAAAGAAGGTGTGAAGGGAAGGTGGTAGTGAAGAGAAGGTAGAGGTGATAGCGGATGATTTTTTATCAGGAATTGGGGGAGATTGGAGGCCATATTATAGAAAAAATATCTCCATATACAACTACTAGTATACAGAGATACCAAGATATCTCGGGTCTATGCTAGTAACTATTCCCGAACCTGAACCCGAATGGAAACGGATGAAGAAAAAAATGTCATGACTGTCCGTAGATGTGAGTCGGCCGCGTATCCTCAGCTGTGCGGATGTCGTTTTGGTTTGTTTAGTGATTGACATGTTACTGAAAATGGACTTACATGTCGTCAATTCTCCCCTTCCCGCCATCACCACCCTCCTTCCTACCCGTGCGCACCCTAACTACATATCAAAATATGCTAAAGTAAAAAGCCCCTAGTAGCTGTTTACATGCAGCCATTGGACAACTTTGCGGGTTTCTAAACTGGAAATGCTTCACTCCCCAACCCCGCCACGCTAGTGACAGTAGAGGTTCCTGTTAAGCGAAGATCGGCAGTAATACTCACGAACCCCCTCTACGGCTGTGACGGGTATGTAATTTTTCCTTCTTCTTCTTCGCGTCAGTCTTTACGATCACGAAGTCTCGCACACATAGCCTAGCTTTTTTGACCCTAAGCGGCGTTAAGACGGAATACAGGCCGACGTTCGGGCTTGGATGAGTGAGACCCGAGTGAGAGTCTATGTTTTTGACCGTCTCTCTAGATCTAGATGTTCAATTCAGACCCCACCTACCAGATAGTCACAAGACCCCTTTCTTTCCATGCGATATCGTCAGCTATCCCAGACTCTGGATAGTACGCAGTGTTATGTTATGAAATCTTGCCGAAACGACAAAGAAACATGTCTACATGTATTTGATACCTACATGTATATGCCTCCTACCTATTCAGGTATTTTGTTTGTCCACGTATCAGTCATACAAGGAGAGCCATATCGTCACACCTCAGGTTTATCGTGATAACTCCAGCCGAGATGTTGTTTTCTGTCTGCTGTCTAGAGAGTAGTGTTCCCATGTCTGATATTATAAGATCTCCGTTATAGGCATGGCCTCCTCCTTACTCCCAGGATCCTGCCTAAAAGTGACAGATATAGAAACAACACACTCATCAATTCTCCCGCCCTGAAGTCATCAATTCCTTGTGGAAACGCATTGAGCAAGAGATGGCCTTAGGCACGCTGTATAGCACGAGGCATACCCTCTTGGGCTCTGTAGGAGACGCACTGATCACCAAAAGGATGGCAATTGCGGATTTCAGGCAATTCAATTAACGTAATATCCCCAGAGGTAGAGTGCGATCGTCGGTATTGATTTGAATTGATGGCTTAGACCTGTCATCCGCAAGGCGTTGCAGATGTTATCGGGGGCGGGACGTTCCTGTAGGTAACTAAAATCTTAGCATGAAGTTAACTAGATAGTCGGTAATGCAATTGGCACTGACAGTTCCAACCCCCACGTACCCTACCATGCCCAATAAGGAAACAACGGGAAGTTCCTACTGCAGGTACAGGATTCCAATTGACTAGCTCCATGGATTCAGGGGGGAGAAGAAGAGAGTCGAGTCTAAAGCCCTTGTCCAAGTACATGTATGTACGTACCCTATGTTGTCTGGTCGTTGCTCAGCCGGGTACCAGGGCTAGAGATAAGTAAGACATCCAAGTACAAGCAAGACAGGGGTTTTGCAAATTGCTATATACCCGAAAAGGGGCAGGGCTAGCCCAAATAAAATATTACTGCGGCCGAATCAAGAACCACGCGGCCTTGGCCAGGATTCGACCCTTCCCCCCAGTCTCTTTCCCTTCTAGAATGTTTGGATTTGGATGCCTCCCGACTATTGCGTTGCTATTACGAATGTGAGGTGACGAATGCCCCAATCGTTTCAGGTTTAGGCCCGTCTACCACCGTTACGGTTTACTATTGTAAATTGTAAACCGGATTGGTGGCCGGATCAGATCAGTGGGGCAGTACATTCAATGGCAATAAATCATTACCCGAGACCCCATGCCGGCAAAACTAGACAGTAGAGAAAAAGAATGATAGTGGGAATACCTATTACTCTTGTTGTTGTGCCTGCCTGCCTGCCTGCCCCCTTCTGCAGAGTCCAGCTGAGTGAGGGCAATCGGACCGTAAACGCGTCAGTGCCGACGAGTTCAGTGAAACTAGAGGATGGAGAAAAACTTGAAATTCGAGCATTACATACCTCTTTAAAATGGGGCTTTATTCTCTCGTGTGCATAATATATTTCACCAGAAAATAACTCTTCAAAGTCTGCGACTTCTTCAACTTCTCACTATCCTTACTCTTCCCTTTTGCTGCCAACTAAACCTTTTTTAAACAACTCATCCACTCTCTATTACTCACTCTCATATCGTCAACATGTTTTCAAAGAGCTCATTCTTGTCCGCCATCCTCATCGGCTTGGAGATTGTCTCTGCTGCTGCCATCGGTAGTGTCAAGCGTCAAACCACCGATACCACCTTCAGCCTCTATGCTTACAACAAGAACATCAGTGGTCTTCCCGTCTTCTACGGAGACGGTTTGTCTTTTCTTTTCTTTTTTCTTCTGTCTTTGTCTTTGTATCTTATTGCTTTGGCTTAAAACCATACCAGCACTAGTAGTTAGTAGTAACAATAGTCCTAACATACCCTCACTCCAGGAATCGCTTACATTGGCAACGCCCCCCCAGTCGACCTCACCAATGAAAGTGTGAATGTCACTTGTAAGTATTCTCACCTATTTTTCTTTATTTCTTCAGGCTAAATCTCACCCCTCCACAGTCACCCCTCAGACATCCGACTCCACCACCTGGGCTGCCAAACCCAACACCACCGATGTCACCTGGAGCACCAGCCCAATGTTGTACATCAACCCCACCAGCGGTTCCTTTGACTCTGCTGGCTTTGTCAACAGCACCAGCGACCTTCCCACTGGCGCCGTCACCTCGGGTTTCTTCTTTTACGGACAAAGCGTTATGTACCAAGGGTCTTCTGGGAGTATGGATGCCAAGTTCTGGGCCGAGCCTACCGATCAGAAGGATTTGTGGATCTTGAAGTGGAACTCGGATGGAACCTCCCAGGGACAATCTGTTCCGATTGTGCTCAAGAGTACCCCGCCAACTCCGATAACCCGCATGATGAACTAGGTTACCGCGTACTATCCACCACTTCACATAGGGAGGTCTTTAGGAGGTTCTAGACAGTTTGTGTCATGTCTATCTTTTATTTCATATTTCATTTCTTTATTCGTATCTTTATGTAGTAGTAGTTGTTGTTGTTGCTAGAATAAGTCAACCTGATCAAGAGTGGGGTAGACAGAATTTAGGAGAATGGCGAAATTGAATTGGGGGGGATTTTAAACCTTGAAAATTTGACCCGTGCGCTTGCATATTTCCACAAATCAATAAGTGCTGCATCGTAGTCTGCATACATGTATATATACCCATGACGAGAAGACCCCGCATATTAGGAGGCTACCATCTAGGTTAGTACATCCCAACCTGACCAAATTACACATATAGTGAATTTATTGATCCAAAGCTCTGGAAATTTCTTGTTGCATCTTAATACCTAGTGGGGATAACCGCTCAGATTGTGGTTTACTCTGCCCTTTAACTTCGCTCCATAAGTTGTCAATCTTAATAATTATACTAGAGTAGATATATGGTAGATAACACAGAGACATCCAGCATCAATCTAGTCCAATAACTTTCATTCAGAATACCCTCATTATTGCATATCTTTCAGTTTTCTGGAGGCAGTAATATCGAGTGATATTCTATGATTGACAGTCTTCCACTAATATCGCAAGTATGTGCGGCTGTCCGGGCTCAATAAAGATTGATACCAGAGAGGTGCTGACGTCACTTCCGATATTGCGGCCTAACAATATACCGGTGGATAGAAATGTTCGGTACAGAGATGTAGTAGTCATGATACCCGCCCGCAACATTGGTGGACCGGATAACCGCATGTACAGTTCCCATGAGATGATTGGCTTGCGATGTTTTTCTTGTCAATTAATATAACCAGAAGCACGCTAATTGAAGTCTGTGCTCCGGCTTGCAATCGTATAATACTATATTGGCGTCTATATAACTTTGTGTCATAATTATTAGCTTGTGTGCGTACTCTTATGCTGTTTAGATGAATCTACTATCATACCGAACAGTCCAACTAGTTGTACCGAGATTGAGATTTGCAAGCCAAGAAATGTTTAGAGTCTTCAGTAGAGTAGACATTTCCTTTGCCGTTTCGATTGGGTGGTAAAATAACGCACCCAGGACATGCTGTAGACAAATTCATCAATCGTCAACCAGTTAAACACGTTAGTAGTCTCGGCTCCATCTATGTATGGAGTGTAATGGGCGCCCATATAACTGTCCCGACGGGAGAATCAGGTCCCGGCGCCCCACAAATAATAGCATGCCATACCTAGAGTCTTTTCTAGTATCGTGAAGTAATCCTTGCCAAGACCAAAATAATGCCAAGACGGAGCGGAGCCTCCACCGCCTCACGCCAGCTACTAACTAGCCGAGTGATCCGTGATGAGTAAAGCGAGGGTGACGACAACCCGAAGATTGAACATTCCGGGGTTTTAATCTACGGTGCCGATATCGCTTAAAAAACCCACGAGGGTTTGCAACCTGGAACAGCCTTTCTCTATCGGTATGTTGAGATTCCAAGAGCTGCGATGCATATGGGATGTCAAACGGCTGGTAGTGGTGGTGGTCAGTGCTCTGATAATACCCGCCCCGATTTCCTCTTACCAGGTCTAGCTTCACTGCATGGCGATAACTATCACCTTCCAGAATCCCTCTAGTAGGATATCTAGATGATAGATATCTCTTTCGTGGGAAGCACCGATGACCGACCGACCTCTTCTATACAGGGGCTTGCGATACGATAGCCGCCTCTTTTTTTTTTCTTTCTCTCTTTTTTTTTTAATAGATATTATTAACCACTTGCCGAAATCCCAAGTATCGCCGTTTTTTAATACTACTGTGCCTTTTTTTTTTTTTTTTTAAATACCGAGCCAGACGGAGACGGGAGCGTCATCTTATCTGCGGAGTGTGACAGACCAGGTGTCACACATTTTCAGATTAGATCGTCACGCTTCCACGGGTTTGAGGGACATACAATAAAGAGCTCGGAGGTTCCACCACCAACGAGTTACTCAAATGTTGTCTTGGTGAAGCAAGTGACTTCTCCTACAGCAAACTCTCGCTATAAGGATACGATCCGGACCGAAACTTGTATTATCGCTTTCGGAGGATCAAGTGTTAAGGTTAACGGGGCGGAGAAATCCTACCCTTATGGGGTATATATGTATCCTTATAGATAATATCCTTATAGTGAGAGATTGCTATATCTCCATAGTATGTATAGTCGGTTAGTCAAAGAACTGTGCGCTCGGTGTTTGAAACCTAAAGCCATTTGTCGTTGACGTTACCAGTCCAATAATCTTGAGAATTCAAACGTCAGTTCTAGTGATGTTATCCACGGATAGAGACGATGGTGGTGATGATAAAGAGAGAGGGTGAGGAGGGAAAGAAAGGGAGCCATGGATGATAGAATGGCCAAGAGCCACTCCGCAAGAGTCTTCGCATTCCCGCTGACTTTGGCCAACAGAAACGAAAAGCCCAACTATAAGGATAGATTGCGAGACTACCAATAAGGGTTAGTCAATAGTTAGCGACACTGTATTCATAGCGAGAGAGAACACTCGGTACTGTACAAGTAGAACAGATATACCAAACTAGCTGGTATATCTTCGCAGTTGGAGTTTTCTTCCTTCATCAACACTCTTTCTCTATCATTACTCTTCCTCTATCATCAATCAAGTCATCCATCATACATTAAGAGTGACTTTAACCAACCCAGCATTCCGCCACGCCACCACACTGCACAGGCGAGCCACAAAACCTATTTCAAATCCTCTGGGACCCCATTCGCCCACCCGTCTAACCACAATCCCCAGCCTATTGTATACCTTGAGCTTACCTAAATGGCTAATACATGTATCTATGCGTTTTTACACGTACCCGGCCACACAATACACAGAAGAACGTATCTTTCCCCTCCACAACTGGTCCAATAAGCCGCCTACATGTAAGTACCAACTCGCAATCGTTTAAACCATAATTGAGTCGGGTCGAATCAGGTTCATGAGCGAATCCCACTAGCCCTGCTCTTCGCTGCGTGGCACTAGATGTAGTTATATACTAACACTGCAAAATAGTTAACGAATTATCAATTATTCAATCAACACTGCAAGTTGATAAGATCTAGCGAGTGAGAATGCATGAAGAAAATACTCGACAACAAAACCACTCACGATTCATCAGTTAGTTCAACTCAGTCTATATCATTATCATTTTTTTATTTGAGTCAAGGCTAACGTTTGTGTTGTGCCTTGTTGCACAGATTTTGGCCCTTTATTGAACACCTTACGAGGCAATTGATTGATTGATTACTTTATTAATTGTATACCTTACGAGGTAAGTACAAAGAAAGAACAGGGCGTCTCTTCATCTCAAAACATCAGTTCTCTCTCCTGTCATCCAATAGTTTGGTCTCCACATCAGCCACTGGAACACAACCCACAACTTCAGAGAAAGGAACATGCAGTATCTCATTCTCCTGGCATCCTTGATGTCCTCTATGGGAATACTACCAGTTATGGGGCTATATACAGTATCTATCTAAGCTATCTCCTCCGCAGTCCACTACTTCCTCTTCCCCCCTTTCCCACCCCTCTTACCTCCGCCGCCGCCTCCACCGGGGCCCCTCTTCTTATCCGCCGCAGCATCACCGCCCGCCGAAAAGATCTTCACCTTCGAGACCCCCACGCAGTTGATCTACTCTCGTCAGTCTCACCACTCCAAAAAAACCAAAAACCAAAAAAGCCAAAAGGAAAAGAATACTCACAATCTCCGCCTCTCTCCACCCCTTAATCAGCTCCCTCTCCGCCGGCCACATCACCTCCCCATCCACACTCTTCTTCTTCTCCCCCTCCGCCAACCACTTCCCCACAATCTCCTTCACCGCCTTCCCCTTCTTCACTGTCCCCGGCTGCATCTTCACCCGATACTTAAACTTCCCCATCGCGCCCCACGGCGCACACACCGGCACCGCATCCAGCAACACATCGCCGGCCATCGGCATCCCCACAAACGCATCCAGCGGTATACTCACCGTCTCATCGTCCTCGTCGTCATCGCGCAGCCTCGCCTCCTCGGCCATCATCGCCTCCCGTGCTGCACGCGCATGCTGTTCGCGGCGCCGCGCCTTCTGGAACGCTGCCTCCTCGTCCTTCGCCGCTTTCGTGGCCGCCGCGTCGTCGGCCTTTGCGGCGGCCGCGGAGCCGAGGAGCGACATGGCGAGGGCGCGGTCCTCGGCGTCTTGGTGCGCGTATTTGGTGGCGAGCTTTTTGGCTTTTCCCTTTTTGCCGCGGACTTGGGCTTGCACGGGTTTGGGGGGTGCGGGCTTGGCGGAGGTAGTGGCGGCTGCGGGGATGTCGTTGTTGGTGGCGCCGCCGCCACCGAGGCGGGCTTTGCGCAGCTCGCGGCGGTCTTTGGCGGACATGTGTTTGCTGCCTGAGGGGGTGTCGGCTCTGTCGGTGGTTGTGGTTGTGGTGGTGCGGTCGTCGTCTTCGTCGAGGTCCGAGTCTTGCTCTTGCTCTTGGGCTTTGGGTTCGGTGTCGGCGTCGGCTTCGGGCGCGGCCTCTTCCTGCGCCTCCTCCTCTTCGCCCGCAGACTCGATCTGCGCATCGGGAAACTCCTCATCACTGCTCTCCTCGGCCTCGGTCTCGGCCTCATCGTCATCATCGTCGTCGAGATTCTCCCTGCCATCACCGGGCCCATCTACCTTCTCGCCCGCCGGTTCCGCGGGGGTCGGGTTGGCGGCGGTAGTTTCTTCCTCCTGCTCCTTCTCCTTCTCGCCCAGTCTGTGCTTCCCGTGCCGCCGGCGACTCTCCTCATCCACATACCACATGACGCCAAAGCCCAGTATCAGCTGCGCCGGCGGCAAGAAGTTCTTCGCGCCCTTGATCTCAAACCGCCCAGTGTCCAGGTACTCCCCTCTGACCATCTTCCCCACCTGCTCATGCGTGACCCACCACGCCGACATGCCACTCTTTGCGTCCCACGCCCTACTCGTTGCCACCGCCAGCGTCCCCGCCTGCGTCAATGTGCTCGGAGGAATGGGTGCGCCGGGCGTCGCTGGGTTATTCTTGATGACGACCATGGCGGCGCCCTCGATGTCGGCGCTGACATAGACGTCGCCGCGGCGGAAGTAGCGGCGGTAGAGGATCTCGTTCTGCTGGAGGTCGCGGCCGGCAAGCACCATGAGGCCGTCGCTGGAGATGAAGAAGAGGAACTTCTCGAACCAGTGCTGGGCGCGCACGGGGCGCAGTACGTCCTTCTCGTGCTTGAGCGCCTTCTGCAGGTCCGTCTGGATCTTCTTCTCCGTGGACTTGAGCGCCTTGGTCGACGACTGGATGGTCTTGGACTCCTTGACGAGGAGCACCTTCTTCTGCGTAAAGTACGAGGACGCGTTGGCGTAGCCCGTCAGCGATAGGTCGATGTCGATGTCGAGCGTCTTGACCACCTTTTTCGGCTTCGTGGGCGCTGCGGCATCGTCCTCGCCCTCCTCGTCCGTCTCGTCCGCCGAGTCGTCAGACTCCTCCTCGCCCTCCTCGTCGTCGTAGTTTACCTCCGGCAGCGTGACCGTCACCGTGTTCTCCGCCAGCTTCAGCGGCAGCTTAATCAGCTCCGCCACGGGGTTCCCGCGCTTCCGCTCCACGTCGATGAGCTGGTCCATGGCGACCCAGTCCATCCCCTTCGCCACAAGGCCATTGACACTCGCAATGACCTCCTCGACGCGGTCCAGGTTCGCCTCGATCGCCTGCGCCTTCGCCGTGTTGATCTCCTGGAGCGTTCGCAGGCCCTCGACCCGGCGGTGATGGTCCGTGCGCGCGGCGTCGAGGCGCTTCACGGCGTTCTCGCGCATGGTTGTGATGCGCGAGTCGGACTTTTGCGACTCGATGGAGGAGAAGAAGGAGTCCACGGTAGTGTTGTAGCCGTGGCACTCGACGGTCTTGATGCCCGGGGCGTTGAAATACTGGATCGGGAGGAAGGGGAAGAAGTCGTCGTAGACCATTCCCTTTGCCTCGCCCTCCTCCTGGACCTTTTCTGGCTGCTCGGACTCGACGGCCTCGGTGGTGCCGAAGGCGCTCTGCTGCTGCTGCTGCTGTGCCTCCGGTTCGTCTTCGCCGCCGCCGAATGAGACGCCCTTCTTCTTCTTATCGGCGGCTTTGTCCTTCTTGTACCCGCCCGTGTTCTCGGCCGGTGCGCGGGGTGCTTTGGCGATGATGTAGCCCTTGATGCCCGTGCCGTTGACGTCGGCCATGATATCCCTTATCATCCCCTCTGCAGCCTCCAGCGCCCTCACCACACCGTCGAGCGTCTCCTCGTCCGCCAGGGCATCCTCAGCCTTGACATCCACGTCCACGCCCGTCGTGCGGAAGCAGTGCTCAATCAGCGCCGGCGCAAACTCGGGCATGCGCGCCGACAGCACCTTCTTGACCATCTCATCACCGCCCTTCCGCTTCGCCTTCTTCTTGTACTTCCTGCCCGCACCCTGACTTGGCAGGGACGTCGTCGCCGCCGCTGCCGCTGCATCCTCATTCTCCAGGGACGCCTCCAGCGCCGCAATAATCCTCTCCCGCAGCACGCCCTCCGCGGTCCTCGTTGACACCTCATACTTTGCGCCGACCCGACACTCGCCCACCCCGCCCTCGCCGCCCTTCACCTCTCTCAGCAAGGCCACAATGGTTCCCTCGCGGTCCACCAGCACCACGTTGCCTCCGGCATAGAACTCGAGGTAGAGTCTGTAGGCGCCCTCCGAGAACACAAACTCTAATACGCGGTCCGATGCAACCTGGCGGACCGCTGTGCACCGGCGCGTGCGCAGGCATTTGCGGAGCTTTGCGACGAAGGGGGACTGTTTTGGGGAGGTGCCACGGGCAAAGGTGGTGAGGTGGCAGCGGAAGCCAGAGTCGATGAGGAGCAGGTGCTTGCTGCTGGGCTTGGAGAACTTGAGGAGGAAGATACGAGTGGTGATGTCGTAGATGTTTGTGAGGCGGTGGGAGGGGGTGAGTGTTGTGGAGAGCTCGTGGGCTATCACCTGGTGGGTGTGAGTGGGGGGGTGCTATACCTCCTGGTGGTGGGGGGGTGCTATACCTCCTGGTGGTGGGGGGGAGGAGAGAGGGACTTACCTGTAGGTCTAGAGAGGAGAAACGTTGTTTCATGGCTCTTTTGGGGTGGGGGGTTTCTGTGCTATCTGCGAGTCTTCTGTGCTATCTGCGAGTCTTCTGTGCTATCTGCGAGTCTTCTGTGCTATCTGTGAGTGTGAGAGTCTGATTGGGGGATTCAGATTCACTCGAGATGTGGGGGGAAGGGGAGATGAGGTATGTGCTCTGCGTGCGTGTTGATTGCCTGTGTTCTCTCGCTGTCCGTTGCTGGCTCCTAGAAGGTGGGGTGTCTGTGTGGCTGTGGTGGGGGTGTTTCTCATTAGTGGTGTGGATGTGTCTGTGGCTGCTGCTGCCCACGCAAATGACGTGTGGTTGTTACACAGGCCCATTGCATCCCCGGTAAGTTCCACCACGATAAGCATGGAAAGCAACGACATGTCAAAAAAGCAAATATATACATGCGATACATATGGAAAACCCTCAGGCAAGTCGCGATAAACCCAACCCTACCACAAGTTGCCAGCCAAAACATCCCTCCGGCTGCCCTCAAACAAATGACAAGACAAGTGCCGAACCTAGCCAACCGGGTAAAACACACTTCTACACACGATCGAGGGGAAGAAAGGAAGCACTAGACGTCGGGAATCGCACCACTCATCGACAACGGCCCGCACAGCATGGCTCGCTGTCAACGAAAGAGAGGGAAAAAAAAAAAGGGCCACCCTGTTTCTCTTCCTTCTAGATGTCGAAACTGTGGAACAAGGCACATGACACTACATACATGTGCCTACTCTACCTGCTCTATGCTATGCTATGCTATGCTATGCAGCTATGCAGCCAGGTATGTATGAAGCAGGGTGAAGAGGGGGGTTCAAGGGGAAGAAAAGTACCGGACGGTGTGCAGAGATCGTTATCGGGTTGCATATAAAAGTGGTGTTCCGGTTTCTACACTTACTCTATCTCCCCCTACCTAGTTTCGCGAGCAAATCTTCCGAGTGGCTGGATGCGGGGTGGTGAGATTGTATGTAGATCTAATCTCTACATGTCAAGATGTTTGACAGCTACACTTTCCTACCTACCTACGTAGCCAGGTAGAGTACCTCCATGTTTGGTCTGTATCTAGGTGCTCTAGCTTAGCTGTGAGCTCTCACCTGAGCTCTACGCCATAGCCAACAAGGTGCCCATCCAGGTCTAGAGCTCTAGAGCTGAGCTAGCTTAGCTTCCCCTCCTCCTCCAGCTGCTCCTCCACAACTCACTCACTCACTTACATTCACGCATGCTTTACTCACATTTCTCTCATTTCACACCTCATTTCACATGTATGTAGCACCATGGAGACCAAAAAAAAAAAAAAAAAAAAAAAACTAAAAGCACCCCTGCAAAAAAGAACATAGAATTTCCAAGTCTAGCTTGCGCGCCCCCCGGGCCCTCTCTCTTCAATTGTTCAAGAATCGAACGGTCAAAAACACAACAATTAATTACAAACCCGCCCCCGGGTTCCCTAGCTCTCCTCTCCATCTCCTGCCATCTGATCGATATCTAGCCATAAAAAAAAAAAGTAACTAAAAAAGAATACGAAGAAAAGAAGAATCGAAGCAGAAAAAAAAAACAAAAAAATAAAAAATAAAAATAAAAAACGCCCCATATCTAACCAACCCATTTCCATCGTAATTCCCATTTCCATCCATCCCATGTGCCCGGCCCCATGCCCCATCCCATCTTATAAAAAAATAAACACCATGACGTTATAACCCATGATATACTAAACGTACCCGCCCGCCCCGGCCACGGACGGCCACGGCCCGGGCCCTCCCTAACTACCGTGTACCAAACTTACCTATCTCCCTCCCTCCCGAGCTACCCCAGACTGTTCCTATCTTCCCTCTATTATATAAAACAAAAACACACATACCGTACCACACACACACACCACCACTACACACTTAGCTAATTAACTTTACGTCCCAACCTGCAGATCAACTATAAAAATAAAAAAAAGTAAATAAAAAAAAAAAAAAAAAAAAAAAAAAAGAGATAACAAAAAACCCCTTGGAGAGATGAGATAGGGGGCCGGGCGGGGGAAAAAGAAAAGAAAAAGCGAAAACCCCTTCCTGCCTGCCCTTCTTCTGATCTCATGCACACACCCAATCCACCAATCCATAGCTAGCTAGCTAGATAGAGTACATGTAGCTAAGTCAGCCAGCTAGTTGGAGCGGGAGAATGTTCCGGCGGGTGGGTGATATATGTGCCCGGAGGTCCGCACCGCTCCTTCGTAGCTAGATGGATGGATGTAGAGATAAGGGATCGATCCGGAAAGAAGAGGAGGAAAAGAAGAAAGATAAAAAAGCCAATCTCGAGAAGAAGAAACCCCAGAAACCAGAAACCAAGCCCAATCTCTAAGTACTAAAAAACAGTACTAAAAACGGAAAAAAAACAAAAAAACGCCTAGCTATCATTTCCCTCGTCACTACTACCGCTGCTGCTGCTACTACTGCTACTGCTACTGCTCTCCCCGCCTTCAACTATAACACCATCGACGCCGGCACCAACCCCCAATTCCTCCTCCCGGCACCTCAGCACCTCCACAACGCTCATCCACCCATTCTCCTCAGCATACTGCCTCGGCGTCCGGCCCTTCTCATCTTTCACTGTGACGTCCGCCGGCGCAACCTCGTTCTCCAGCAGCATGGCCACCGTGACCGCATCCCTCACGCTCGCCGCATAATGCAGCGCCGTCTTCCCCTTTGGATCCACAGCATCGACCCTGGCCCCCCGACGCAGTAGCATCCTCACCATCTCCTCTTTGGCCCCCTGAATAACATCCACCCGGCTCTTGGACAGGAGTCTCCTGAGCTCCGGCGGCGCGCCCAAAACCGCTTCATGCAGTGGCGTCTTACCCTTCCGGTCCCGCACATCCACGTCCGCGCCCTTCTCCAGCAGCAATCTCACAACCTCAACCTTCCCATGGTGTACCGCAACGTGCAGCGCCGTCGCCGGGTTCGCGTCCTCGATTTTTGCGCCCTTCTCCAACAGCATCTGCACAACGCTCACGCACCCGTACAGCGCCGCCGTCTGTAGCTCCGTCCACCCCAGGTGGTCCAGCACGCCCATCTCTGCGCCCGCCTCGATAAGCACCTGCGGGAGCGTGCTCCCGTGGTGTCCCCACTTGCCCACATGCTTGACCGCTAGATGTAGTACCGTCTTGCCCGTGTTGTCGCGCACCCACGTGTGCGCCCCGTGCGCCAGCAGCGCGCTCACAACCTCGACCACCGCCGTCTCGGCCCTCTCCTGTAGCTCTCCTATGTCCACGCCCTCGCCCACGCCGCCAAGCCGCACCCAGCGCCCCTCGAGCCCATGGCGCGCCACACATGCCATCTGCAGAGGGGTCCGCGCCGAAACGCCGCTGACCCTGTTGACGTCTGCGCCGGCCGCAACAAGCACCTGTACAATCTCTCTTCTTGCGTAGAGCGCGGCCCAGTGTAGCGGCGTGGCGCCCATCTTTGTTTCTATAGCGTGGACGTCCGCTCCGTTCTCGAGCAGCAGGCGGACGACGGCGGCGTCGCCATTTATGGACGCCTTGTGGAGCGCTGTAACGCCGAGCGGGTCTGCGGCATTGACACAAATGATGGGGGTAGTAAGAAGGTAGGCAATGAGTGGGTAGTGGCCGCGGTCGGCGGCCCAGACGAGTGCGGGGGTGCCGTAGACGTCCTGGGTGGCGAGGGTGCGTAGTGGGGTTGTGAGGAGGCGGGCGAAGAATTTGTTGGTGCGCAGGAGGGCATTGAGGTCGCGTGCAGTCAGGTCCGAGGACACTTGCAAAAGAAGTTCGTTGGGGAACTTCATGAGGGATTGCATCGCTGTGGGGGCCTATTTCTCGGGGGTGTCGGAATTGATTGGTTGGTTAATTGGTGGTGGTCCGGGAGTGAGAATTGAGTATTGAGTAATGGGATTGAGTGCTAATTGTTGTGAACAGGAGCTAGCTAAACCAATAGCTATGATCGACTTCGACTTCGACTTTAAACTATACCAGATACTGATAATAGTAGTTCTGAGAGTGCGCGTGGGTGGGGAAGATCGATATCGGCGGTCTGCTCAACCAAAGTAGTACCGTCTCGAACAAGCTGGCTCGTAAAAGGGCAATGGGAGTAAAAACAGTCTCAAGGCCCTCTCGAAGAACGAGTGTATAGTTTCGAGATCGAGACAAGCAGACTCGGCGTCTATAAGGCAGTTTCGCTCGAGGGGGGGACAGGGAGGGTGACCAGGCAAACTAACGTATGGGACAGCAGTAGAAGCAGCAGCAGCACAGATAGTAGATAGAAAAGATAGAAAGAAAGATCCAACCACCCGATCCAATCCTAGCCAATCCACTAGGCTGGCAGCTACACTGAAAATTAATTGGAGCGGCCTTCGGGACAGTAGCAGCAGCAGCAGAGGGATGATGATGAGGGGTGAGGGGGGGGGGGGAGGGGGTACTAGGTACTAGGGGGGGGGATGTTTAGTTAGAAGGTCAGGTATGTAGGTACTGGGGGGGGGGCAGAGGTAACATCGTTCAATTAAAGCGGAGAATTACGCTTTTTTTTTTCCACACCGGGGGCCGGGGGGGAGTACAGGACAGGTACAGGACAGAACAGGCCAGGGCAGGCACCGCAGAAAAGGACAGGTGGGATAGGACAGGACTGAAAACTAACTACATAACTAACATGAGTGGAGATCGGTGACTTCTAACTAGAGAGTACCTTACTTCCATGCCATGTCCTCTAACCTACCTTACAGCAAGCAAGCACTCGACCTCTCTCTACATGCTCTACCAGCTCTCATACATACATGTTATAGCCAACCCGGCCCAGTCCAGCCCAGCCCGGCCCAGCCCAGCCTAGCTACATATGTAAATGTATGTAGGTATTGTACTTATGCTAACTAACCACATTCTACAGCTTCCCAAAAAGCTGTAGTAGGCTAGTTAGTTGGTAAAAATAATAATTAAAAACCCCCTCGGGAGAGGGGGGTGGCAGCCAGACGGTGGGCGGAAAAGAAAAATAAAATAAAAATTAAAAAAATAAAATAAAAGTGGGATGGTACATGGTACCATGCAACCGGTAGCTGGTAGTACTCGTACATAACAGTAACTAACTGGACGTAGAGTACATTTTCCCACAGGTTAATAGGTATATCGAGGGCCAAGCAAATCAATGCCTTTCATGCGTGCGGAGAAAAGAAAAAACGACAGCGAATAAATTCCTACCTGTGCTCTGCTTTCTGCAACCCTCCCCCTTCCCCCCCATCGCGAACTTTCTTCTTGAATTCTTCTCTCGCCTAGATGCAAATATGGCTGAACGAAAGGGAGGAAGAAAAGAAAGTAAGGAAAAAAATTCCCCTCGCTGCACTTCCTCTTCAGTACTCTATGTACGCAGTCTAATTCCTGTATGTAGAATATGTAACCCCTTCCATAAAAATAAAAGTTGTTAGCAAAAAAAAAAATATGTTGTTAGCCAGTAGAAAAAGAATCCATCTAGAAGAAGAATCGGATCATACCCCCCCCCCCCGGGGCGGCCGTTCTCACGGCAAATCTCCCATTTCCCATCTCCAATCCACAAATCCACAAATCCACCACTACTCCTGCGATATCGCCCGTGTATATTCAATCGGGGAAAATAGGGATTTCGGCGGAGCTAGGAGGGGGATGGATGGAAGGGGGGGTTATCCCTATCTGAACACGCGGCACCCAGACGTGGGTGGTCGACACTCTCTCTATTCCTCTCTCCCAAAGTTTTTGAATGGCCCATGAAACACCACGTCTGCCAGCCAGTCAGTGGGGGGGCGGGCGATGGGAGGGGGGGTACTCTACTCTGCTGCTGTAGGTAGGCAGATGGTGGTAGGCGTAGCTCTGTGGTTAGACTTCTGTGGGTGGTGCAGCATTGCAACGTCGTCGGATTTGACAGAAGCGCCAAGCTGCCTCTGGTTGCGCCTAACCCACCAAACAACAACCACTCTCGCTGACTGGCACCGCTCCCTCCACCGCCATCCCGGCCACGGCATACCACCCAAGCGATTAAACCAAGAGAGTAGATAGACGGACGAGTCGGTAGACAGCTAGTGGGGATTCAGCCCTGCCTTTATATATCGCCCCCTCGAATAACAACATTATTTTTTCCTTCTGGACGCCCCCCCCTCCCTCTTCTCTCCGAAGAGGAGGGGTGGAGGGGGTGCGATATCGATACCAATATCGATACTCGATTCTGATCGTGTTCGCGGGTTATGTGTGTGTCTGTCTATCTTCCTCCTCAACATCGCTATCAACCTCAAATCCGCACATCCCTTCCCTTCCTCCCTTCCCTTCCCTCTATCATGCAGGGAACCCCCCAAACCCATTAACCCCAAACCCAAACCCAAAGATTCCAAACCGCACCGTCTAGCCATCCAAACCAGGGGGACTGAGCACCATTAAAAATCCACCCCAGTCTAGTAACCCATAGAATTGGGTTCGGCAATCTTTCCATTCCCCGGGCCCCCTTTGAACTTCCTCAAGCTTCTAGACCTTGGTCGCTCTCGACATATGTGATGAGCTCTTCTTATCCCCCCATTCCCCGTTCAACCCTTCCCCCGGCTCCCCCACGCCCGCCGTTTCAGCCTCGGGCCGTATGGATATCTGCTACTCTACATAAGTCTCCAACATCTCAATAACCCACAGCAGAGCACCTACCTACCTGCCTACCCTAGGATAGAGCCAACTCGGTATCGTGTAGGTTGCAGTGTAGATCATGGATACAAAATCGATATGTATTCTAGCTCAGTGGCATTCGCAACTCGCCCAGGCTCAAGCTCGGGCCCCAATATGCGATAAAAATAGTTGTCGCGTACATTCCCACACACACCCAGCCGACCCGAGGGGCATCTTTTTTTTTTTTTTTCCTCACCCCATGTTCTTTGACTCTTTTTATTTTTTATTCACATATTTAAATTTTCTACGGGGCCGGAGCGGTTGGCGATGAGGCGGGGATGGGGGAGGTTCGTGCACCACCGGCGCGGCCGGGGAGGAATGATTGTCACTTATCAGCATGTCCCGATAGGGTAGGGGTAGGGGTAGGGGGTCATGGGATCTCACTCGCTTGCTGTCGGGGAGACTAGGCTTTATCTGGAATGCTAGCTAGTAGTAGTATCAGAAATAGTAGTAATAGTACTCTAGAGTTAGTAGAGCTAGAGGGCAGATAGGCCCCGGGGGAACAAGGGATGGCAGATAACGGCCTAGCTAGATCTAGATGGGATCTGATAAACTTGGCCAAGTATTATAACGACAACCCACCACCTCCACCATCTCCACACCCACTCTCACCGTGCACCGCGTACCACCCACCCCTACCGCGGGCTTTATTTACCCCAGGTTTGGCAATTGCACGACACAGATGAAAGTGTCATGCCACTTATCTAGATAGACTAGAGTATAGATTACAATCTATATTGTTTCTTCTCCCTTCGATCCTCTCTCCCTCCCTAGCTCCCACCTTACCGACCTAGCTACATAAATGTGGTGAGCTTACTGCTGTAGAACGTTACATGGTGCCGGTGCTACTTAAGTGGCCATGATGGTGGTCATACAAAATCGGCCAAACAAAACGCAGGGCGAGCCGGTTGGTTAATTAGCTGGCGCTTAATGAAAATCCTCGAGGGCTTGATCTTCATGTGACATTGGTGATGGGGATGAGGTGGAGGAGCAGGTAGATGTGGAGGAGGAGGAGGAGGCAGATGTGGATATGGATGTGGACGGAGGTAGATACATCATAACCTGGTAATAACTCAGGCAACCGTATCGCCAATATGCCACGCAGGTTCCCCAGACTCAGGCTTTACTACACTTTCCCCTTTATTTGATTCGTGATTCAGGCGTTAATGTGGTTACACACATAAGACACTGGATTAAAGGTACAGCAATATCGATTTATGTATGATATTCATTTATTTAACTCGCGTTGACTCAGAAGCAAGAACTAGAGGAAATACTCGCAAAGGAAACATCGATATCTCTGAAAACTGACGTTAAAAAGTGAATAGACCAGGGCCAATTCTTCACAATTTATTTTCTCTTTTTTTTTTTGACATTTCCAGTTTTTTGCTCTCTCTCTTTTTTGTTTTTTTCTTTCGTGTCGGTATGATAGAATATCCAGAAACTCAAAATAAGAAATGTTGCGTGAGATTGCAAGGAATGTAAGAAATAAGAAAAATAACCCGCCGACCTAAACAGACTGGATCTCGCAGCCCGCGGCCGGTCACCCGCAGGACGGAAGATACAGGATCTCATCCAATGACTGCTCAATGTTTCTATGTTGAGGGGTGCGTCCAGAAGGCTGCCCCCCCTTGTATCCCTCCCCAGGGGATCGTTCCTGTGGGGCAAGGCCTAGACTATCAAGGTCGTTGAAGAGCTGCTCGTACGGAGGGGAGGGGTTGGGTAGTTTAGAAAGCCTGAGGAGTGTGTTTCCATCCTCCTCATCAGCCAGATAACGCCCAACTGATGCTGGCGTTCTGCGGACCCGCCTCTCGGCTATGCCATTGTTGGTAACTGACTCTCGGGGATGCGTTTCCGTTCGAGAGACAGTTGGCATGATCTAGGCTGGTATTAGTGACGGAAGGCATTTCTTCAGGTATGGTTTAACTCACACTAGTCTCTTCAGATGAGGCGGTTTCGAGGGTATCTCGTGTTCCGACACCCTCGAAACCGTGAACCTCGTTCCTAGATTCCACTAAAGTTCTCTTCATAGTATATGATCCGGGGTTCTCTTGCAGTTGGGGACCGGAGAGGCATTTCGATTCCTCGGCCTTGTGGGCCCCAGGCCCCGAGGATGGTTTCAAACACGGAATAGTGATGTTTCTCATTTTCGGGGCAAAGATGATGCTTGCAAACGGCTCTTTTTAAGAATAGCTTAGGTGGGATAGATAATATGATTAACGATAGCCGGTGTTTCATCTTCAGGCGATCTATCCTCTCTTATATGCTAGCAAGGCCAGACTGTGGGGAACCCCGTCCTAGAGTATACCATGCTTGAAGGTGCTCGCCCCATGTTCGTTTAATCCTACATGTGCGTAGCAACGAGACCTTTACAGGTCTATCCGTACTACCCCAATCATGACTCTCCACCTCACCTCTCACGATGACCGTAAAGGTGTGCCTCCGTCAATCATAGGTGGTGGCAGAGTGGGGGGGCGGAGCAATGTCCATCCATTTGAAAGAAAGAAATATAGATGGGGGGCTCCTCTGGATGTAAGGATCGAAATAGCAAATTTGCAAAGTGCTGAAAAGACAGTGGGTAAGTTATCCAAAAAAAAGGGCTATGCGTCATATCCACATGTCTCTTGCCAGTGGATACCAAACGTTTCGAACCTCGAAGTAAAAAGCGGATTAAATGATATCGAGTTCGGAGAGTTGCTCCGCCTAGACTCGATTGGAACGCGGCCAAATCCTCAGAGGAGCTTATTTGTATCTCAACACCATCCTTGACTGATTCCCCAGATTCCACGATGCATATATAGTATGCCACGTACCATTAATTCGCAAGGCAGAGAGCGGGACTGAATGTTTCTCCTCTGTATATACAGGCGAGAGCTCGGGCGTGGGATGTCCAGGCCATGGGGGTAATAATGTGTAATGAAATTTAGTGGAATACTCATAACCAATGCTCGCCTCGTCTAGATGCATGGCCATGTGTGAGTGAGGCGGAAAGCGCTGAAGTGATGTGGAAGCAACCGTTCATGGATCCCACACGTTTGATATAAGCGGATTTTTAGGTATCTGGCGGTGCTGGAGGTTATTATATGTATTATTGGTATTCTTTATTACATCGTGTGAATTGAAGAAGAAGGAGAATAATAGAAATGTTGAGCTTGACGTCATCAAGCTATCCGATATCCGATAAATATCGGCCCGTTTAGTGTAACACCAAACGGCTCGGCAGAGGCAGTAGCGTAAGTTCGGGTACAAAGCGATAAAGTTATCGGCAATATTCAGGTTGATTCAAATAACGGCCAGGAAGTTTTGGAAATGTTCGGTCCTAATAGCAGTGATAACCTCGGACTATAACAAAGTAAAAAAAATTGATATTTGGAGGAGGATGCTGTGAACCTGCTCATGAATTCGAAGCTGCGGCCTGGAGCTGATATCTACTACTTCAATGCCTCCGTTTTTTTTTGAAAACAACCACAAGCCAACATACCATCTGTGCCCCATCATCTGACAAATACTAGGCTGCCAGCACACATTGTTGTGCAAGGAATACTTATCGTGAATAAGGGGATATCCAGAGTCTTTGACTGGACCAATGGCTTCGGCGAAGAAAAACGTAATTCAGCGTTGTTTTTGAAACCTCAAACCCTGTTTCCAGCTGTTGAAAGACTTCGCACATGATACCCATAATTTTGGGGTTGTTTTCGTATTTATGTAGGTACCTGTCATATTTTTTTGCAGCTTCGGGTGCAGTTGGTTGTTAAACACGCGGCAGATATTGAACATAAAGCTACCTTACTCACCAGGATCAAGACAAGCTCTTTAGACTATTGTCCACTTTGAGATGTATATGATAAAAGCAATTCACCTGAGAATTTATGTCTGTAAGTTGTCCCGTGGCTTGTGAATCTATCGGTGTCCATCGCAGCTTTTCGTACAGATCAGACTGTGTTGCGCAAGGCAGCTCGGAAGTGCATGCAGGCGTAAAACAAGAAAAAAACGATGTGCCACGGATGATGTATCATGTAGAGTAGAGCGCATCAGGTCAAAATCCCCGACTCGCATATATCAATGAGATTTGTGATATTCCATTGATTTGTGCAGTTGTATGTAAACTTCTGTTTCCGTCGACGTAACGCTGTGGCACGCGCCGTGGCGTACAGGAGGGGAATTCCCCTGAACACTGGTGGTACCCTGAACACCGAAACATTAGGACATCCTTTTGCAATTGGAGTTCAGACTCGAAACCTCTTACTATTCTCGCCATGAAGCTCAACCTCCGTTAGTCTGAAATGTTGAAGATATCCCCGATATGGTAAGCAAGTACTCTACTCCTAGCACGATTTGACCGAGGTTTGCAGGGAAGGTTATGGAACTCCGGTGTTGCTCCTCAAACCATTACAAATTAACATCCACGTCATTCTTCCCCACGAAGAAATCGGATAAATGTTCAAAAATCCAGGCAAATGGTGTTAATTCTCACTGACAAAGTCAACTCTACACCAACACCGGTCCAAAATTTGACACCGAAACTTCAATTTCTCCATCGTCCAGGATAAAAAAAGAAGGGAAAAAAAGAATGACTTCTCAATCTGACTTGCGCAATGCAGCCGCGCCAGGTGTCCCTTATTTCACACCGCATCAATCACCACCATCTGGATCAGCCCTTCCGCTCTCAGAGCAACCCGTTCACAAAGACAAATTGCCCAAGCTCTTTGAGCCCCTCAAGATCCGTGATGCTGTATTCCCGAACCGTGCTTTTTGCGCACCGATGTGCATGTATTCATGTGCTGATGGTAAATTGACGGATTTTCACATGGTGCATTTGGGTGGTATTGCGTATAAAGGTGCAGGACTGGTGATGGTCGAGGCTTCTTCGGTAAGGCCTGAAGGTAGAATCTCTCCGGAAGATTCGGGGATTTGGGAGGACGCGTGAGTTTTCATACTTTCAAAGATGGAGGTGTTGGTGTTAAGTAGTACATGATGGCTAAACCCTTCGGCAGTCAAATTGAGCCCCTGGCGAAAATAGCGACATACGTACACTCACAAGGCCATCATTTGAGTGTTCAGCTCGCGCATGCTGGCAGAAAGGCATCGACAGTTGCACCTTGGTTGGCAGAAAGGGGTGAGTTAACGTGGCATGAAAATATAGTTGCTACTCTATGATAATATAATACTTACTTTTTTTTCTTCCTAGGTCATTCCAACACAGCGACTGCCGCTGTTGGTGGTTGGCCGGACAATGTCGTGTCATCAACTACAACTCCGTGGTCGAGCGATTATCCGGTTCCACGGATGCTTTCGATTGCCGAGATCAAAGACATAGTCAAAGCCTTTGGTGATGCTGCAGTTCGTGCTGTCAAAGCAGGTGTGGATTCTATCGAGCTCCACGCAGCACACGGGTACCTACTTCATCAGTTCTTGAGCACGGCGACCAACCAGCGGACAGATGAGTATGGTGGGTCGTTCGAGAACAGAGTAAGGCTTGTGTTGGAGGCTATACAGGAGATAAGGCCCCGTATTCCCGAGGGAATGCCGTTCTTTCTAAGGTTTGTAGTTGATTCCAACGCCGAGCTTATAGATAGGTATGGTGCTAACATTATGACCAATCGTAGGCTTTCGGGCACAGATTGGCTAGATACGGCAAAGTACCCTGGTGCTTGGGATATCGAACAGACCATACGATTGGCGAAACTCCTGTATCCCCTCGGTGTAGACCTTCTTGATGTTTCCTCGGCTGGGAACCATGAAGAGCAGAAAATTCCCATCCACATCAAGGAATACCAGACTTCATTGGCCGGTAAGGTCAAAAAAGCACTTATTGAAGAAGGTGGTGAAGCGGCGAAATTACTGATCAGTGCGGTGGGCGGTATTACCGATGGAGCACAGGCCAATCAGGTATGAATCCCATGTGTTTGTACGCCTGGTGTTTCGGTGGCTCTAACTGGGCCGCACCTATAGATATTGGAAGAAGGACAAGTCGATGCTGTTTTCATCGCTCGAGAGTTTTTGAGGGACTCAAGCTTTGTCATGAGGGCAGCAAAGGAACTAGAGGTCCAAGTCAGATGGCCTGTTCAATACCAACGCGGAACATTTGGAAGGGTTAAACCTAGGATGTAAGGGCCTCTTCATGTTTCTTGAGCGGGGAATATGAAGTTTATGTACGTATTCTTTGATGTTACCTAGATAGACAGGGATCAGGCGTGCAAATCTTTTGATTTCACGAGCTCGACCAGACCCCACAGTCCACACATGCATGATCACTAGAGCACATGCAGATAGAGAATGAATATAAATGCATTTCTAAAGATATCCCAACAGATATCAGAGGTCTGGTGAAAAAATTGATCTTTGTAACTTATCTGTTAATCCGGCTCCTGCTCCCTCAGTACAGACCTTGTGGAGGTATCTATCTGTTTACCTTCAATATTCAAACCACCAGCGAAAACCTGACCAGGACAGTTAACACGGCCGGTTTGAAGCCGTCATGACAAATATCCTTCGGGCCGGGAACCAAAAAGGGCTCAAAATACAGACAGTGATTGTCGACCCATAGATCAATTGCCACACTTGCCACGGCAGCTTTAGATAAGGCGCTGCGTGGAGAATATTTGATATGGGAATAATTGACATGGAGAATAATATAATTATGATACAGGATCCCTAGCCGGAAGGCTGCATATACCGGGAATTGATAAGCCAATCAATCAAGTTAATTATACAGATACATACTACACAATAAATCACTCCATTACTCTATATTTTCAGACAACGCGGTGCGCGTATGAGTGTATGAGTGGGAATTATATGCTTGTACGAGTGGCTCGCTCATGTGGCAAACCTATTACTGGCCATTCGATTCAGAAGATCTTCCAGTACTCTAAGCAGAAGCTGCGGCAAGAAATTATATCATTAAGTCCTCGGATGTTTCTGTCGGATCTGGTAGCAAGGGAACCCGATGAAGATCATAATGCAGCAGCTAAACCGGCGAGTGATATTCTATGAATATATACGTCTTATGACGGCTACCTGCTCCTAGTTTACGAGATTATCGGCTTGTTCTGAAACTACGTGTATTACATGTAGTTATCTAATATGTATTATCTTTACTCTCTGATGTACGCTCATTCAATCTGATTGGTCGTGAGAGACAGGGGCGATTTAAAGCACGACACATCAAAATTCTGAGCACTCACGATTGAACGGGGCCGAAGGTCCCCCATAGTAGAGAGAGAGAGTGTGAATTGGAGATAGTAGGAGGTTGAAGTGGGAGGGGGGAGGGACCGAAGGCCCCATTGAAGGCCTTTCACACTTGATTGATACCCATAATCCAAAGTACAACTCGCAGTCGCGAGGTGGGCCACTACTACATGTAGTGTACATGTAGTCTAAGAGTAGGGGTTAGAGTACATTTATGTACATACGTACATGTAGGCAACTACCCTAAAAAGTTCGTGGTTCAGAAATACAATTTTTTCCTCCGAGTACGTCATACCATTAATATTAATGACTCTGGGCCCATGGGTCGATGGCTGGAGAGATGAGTATCATATCTACTCAAGTAAGACTTTTGTTTGGGAATAGAGCAAATTATTAATTTCCTTTTTGCTTTTTGCATTTGCTTTTTTTAAATTTCTGTAGCCCATCCGATCACTAGCTAGTTTCAATGCGGGTGTGCAGGCCATGACGGACAGATAAATCAGTAACATCGAACCCGGAATGTTTTATGTACCCCCGACCACACCAATTCTCTAAATTCATGGGTCCGGCTAGTAAAAATCGTCAATAACATCCTTCCTGTGGCAATATTTGAGAAACCACAGCTATATATATTCAACTAGCTAAACCAGAAACAGATCACTTATCTCGGTATTTTATGTATCCTACGAATCGCCTGGTGTTTATAGTTGTGCCTACCTTATGTATGGAGCGCTGTTTTGAGTGCGCATGCGGTGGACTCGATGGTGCTGGAAAAGGGTGCTAGCGCTAGTAGGTAAGACTTTCGGTAGGGTGATGTCTATGGCAGTCGAGATGAGATACAGAGTATCTAGTTTGCGTAAGCATGCATCATATAGTATTCAGTTTGCCAGAGGAAGATCAAACAATACATGTACAGTACCTGCCGGCTGAAATTGAGAGACGTTAGTACGAAAATGTATACTCGTAGTTTTTTGACGTTTCCGGACGCGACCACTATTGCATGCCATACAAAAGATAGCCTTGGCGGGTTTTTTCTGTGTATGCAATAGCAGTTGCGTCCGGAAACGCTGTGAAATTGCGAGTAGAGGCTCCATGCAGACGCCGAACATCCCGCGAATCGTATCCTAGCTTAGATAGCTGCTTTGAATGCGTACTCACGGCTGCACAGCACACAGTATATCATCAGCCACTGTGGCAATGCCACTCGCTCCCACATGTTCCCTTTCACTTCTTCTCATCTACGTATACGACCATCATTACCGGCCTGTTATCATCGCAAGGGGCAATCAAATTATCATCTGCCCTTCGTCATCAGTAGCCAATACTCACTCTCTTTGTCTCTATTCCAAATGCCTCCAAACCTAGTCTGCATGATGAGACCAATATGGGAAGGCCGAGTATATCACGACCTTTGGCCTATGGCTGTAAATACGAATTAGGGAAGATAGTTACAGAGTTTATTGACCCTTACGCCCTTTACATGCAGCCCATGTCAAAGATTTCGAGATCCGATTGCGTTCGACAGCACTTCACCTAAGCGGAATTAGAGAGACATTGTGCATTCTACCTTGTACCAAGTTTCAGGAGCTAACTTCCTGATGGTAACGGGCGGGTCTTCACACTTTACAGGAGATAAACGAAGAATGATAATAGATGTTACATGATTTTATCTTGAAGAACTAGTAAAACACTAAGATACGTACATCAATTAACCTACCTTGATTTATACTCGTAAGATATTAATGAGAATTAACCCTTTAAACGAAAGACGGGAGGAAGAATCGCTAACCCAAAACAAAGTCAAAAAGAAGGAAAAGAAGGAGAGAACGAGACAGGGAAAACGACAATAACCCTCGTTGAAAACCTACATTATCAATGCAATCCCTTCCGGACAACATAAGCAATATATAGCCGAAAAGCCAACACCACCAAACCGATCATCGCAACTCCTCCGTAAGCCCCGTACGCGACTCTTAGCCATACTTTCTTCGCCCAATATTGATGTGCAAAGCTGTTCGGGCTGAGAGGTATCGAAGAGTCAGGACCTCGGTTTACTATTCCAGCCTTGCAATAACAGTTGTTGAATATCCCCGCAATCTGCAACATGGATCCGCCTATGAGGATAACTACCGAGTTCAGCCACATAAGAAAATAATATAATGTAGTGACAAAACCATAAGAACGCCTATGTTCGGTCTCTTTCAGCCAGTCTTTCAGAACCCTAATAACGGCATTGAGGAGGGAGACAGAGGCGTATAGGATGTGATTCATCGACCTGCAGCCTAACCCAACTTTGGGGGTCGTGTAGGATACTTGAACTAGAGTGAGCTTTTGCACAAGCTCAAAGTTATATGGGAGGTACTTACATATTGCTGCGCAAGCGCATGAATACAGAACAAAGAGCCATGAGAGAACTTGTCCTGCAAGGTAATTCGCCTAAGAAGAATTAGCAAGAAACAACCAATCTATCTCTGGGTAGAGAACATACCCAGGGGTTCACACTCTTCGAGGCCCAATCAACCCAAAAGATGTCATAACTGAATATACCCTCTTTTGGTCTGGAAATATCCACACCGTTCTTATGCAACCACCTGACCCAGTACCAACTGTTCCAATACCTTTTATACAATGGAGCCCCCCTACATTCCAATGATCCTCCAAAGAGAGCTCTCGGATTAGGATTCATCGGGGGATGCATACGCGGGAATACCATTAAGGACTCGGTGGCTATGTTGTATGATTGCGAACATGTTTGAGCTATTTGCTTATCCCATCCTAGGTCTTCAAATTCCTTGGGGCCATGGTTTTCGATAACACCGCGGACTATCAGCTCCATGCCGCTGCGTACGGCGTCGAGGTTCGAGTGGGAAGCAAAACAATTGCTGAAAATCGACAATAACAAAACCCAATTGTACCAAGTACCATAACTATACCGAGCTATTAACCAAGGCCCATGTATGCGGTGTTTATTGTAAGGAACTTACGCGAGGCTATGACTATTGAATAGTAAGTAATATACTACGGTATGGGATCTAGCAGGACTCACGATGTGCCATTATCTCCCAGTTTCTGATAGGCGTCATAAAAGACCGATGCCGCTACCCCTATGTATAGAGCAACAGGCAGGACAACAGCAGTATTGAATTTCTTCCTAGCACTCCATATCATCCGACACGCTGTCTTACTATACTCCCTCGCACGACTTGAACCAGCCATTAACTCAAGCGCATTTCTAGTAGGAGAACAAAAGAAGTCTGCCTGCTCTGTAAGAATAACGGTCAAAATGAGCTCCTTCTCTCGCTTCCCATTGGTGGGTCGATGCATCGACATACACAAATTCCAATCCGCAACCATTTGTGCTAGAGACCCGTTGAATGCGCTGGCCGGATCTCCTAGAATATGCAAATATTGCAATACAGGACCCAACCAATTATGGATATAGTGTGCCATCAACTTCTCCTTCCTCGTGCGACCCCACATCTGTTTGTGGTCCTTGAGATGTTCCGATATGGGCAGCAAAAGCAACAACGCAGAGGCTGGAATAATCCATGCCGCGAGCGGGGTCAGCCATTGGCTTGTATCACTGGCTTGGAAATTGCCGCTCTTTTCACAATTTCGTCGGCACCATTCGTATGTTGTGATGATGGGAACCGAATACATCTTTAGAGGATCCTTTTCGGATGAGTTGTAGGCCGAGTGGCATGAATCCCATTGGAACGGTCGGATATCATCGGAGACAGGGACCTGTGCACAGCACGCCTCAAAGTTCACTGCTGCTTGTACCCCTCGAATAAGATATGCGACCAGCGTTATAAAAAACATCAGGGTCCCTCGTGGGAGTAGAACGGAAGCCATGAAGACGAGTGTGTAGCGTCCAGCGATGCACTATGAAAATCATTCAGTCCTGAACTCGGAGGGGTGCCATACTGGTGGGACCGTACCTCTCTTAAACAATAAGTAACTGAAGGAAGAGTGGGACAAGAAATAAGAAAGAAAAAAATGGCCATCCCCTTAGTTTAAAACAAATCGCGAGACAAATTACCAAAGTTGAAATATTGCAGCCAACTGTCAGTGTCTCACATAGCGCATATGCATGTTACCAACGTCAAGTATGGAGACAAAAACAGGGCCATCCAATGGTATTCTTTCTTCTACCCGTACCAGTTCCTGAGGAGGGATCCAAATAAAGCTCTGCGCTCTCGAAATTAATGAAACTACCAGCCAATCCCACAGGCTAATGCCGTGGGTTCTACTCAAGCTGGTGCAGTATGTGGATATTAGGAAGCTGAAGTTACATGTTGTGCGCAGATGTGATAGATGTATCGCAATATCACGATATGTGCGAGTATTCTCCAGGGGGTTACAAGTATCGAAATGTGCACTCTACGGGCCCTAACCTGATTTTGACCCTCGCTTCTGCAGGCCTTATCATATTCTGGTCTCTATTTAGAGGATCTCCACCAGAGTAGGTACACTGGTACTCTACATATGTATACCTACCTATTCTCCATACCTGCTCTGCCAGCTACACTACACTCTCCTCTGAATCCCTCAATAGTAGTGTTACTACAGTGGTCTACGGTCTGCTCGAGCAGCTAGAGAGAACCCTCAATAGTAGTGTTACTACAGTGGTCTACGGTCTGCTCGAGCAGCTAGAGAGAACCCTCAAGGGCGTGCGCATGACCCTCCCGCGTGTTCCAGCCACGCGAATTTTGCACACCTACCCATTCAAAGGATGAGGCTTTTTTCAGCTGGTTGTGCAAAATCCAACAAAGGTAGGGCTCTGTCACTTCCTCTGGCCGATAGGAACGCGCCACGCATACGTTCACTCTTCGCAATCAATGGCACGGTCCAAAAAAGGTCTTCCCGGTGCAAGATTTACCAACCTCAAGTATTCATTCACAGGCAGAAGACCAGGCCAATGATCAATCAATTGCTAGCCAGACTTTTAAGCCTACCACTCACTCACATCATAGGGTTAGGGGTTTCTTATAGTAACCAGAAGCTGCTTTGGGTATGTCTTCAATACTAGGTACATACATAGAAGATCAATCCTTAACCTGGGGTATACAAGGTTGCTCCATAGATAAGACCCGGCCCCTTCTGTAGTACCCGAAATCGCCTCTGCGCGAATCAGCTCCACAAGATCTTTGTACTCTATCGACCTCTGCATAAAGCCTAGGGGCTACGTCCGCGGGAATCGGGCCTAACTACTGACTTCCTTGAATTATTATCGTTATTATTCAACATGTGTGACAACATCTTAAGTGCTGTTTCGGGGAAGGAGGGGATTGGGAGGGAGATACAATCCATATGCAACACGCGTAGAAGATGATAGAGTACTCTAGTGCCTGGTGATTATCAGAAATCCTTAATACGCTCGTTCCATGGATCCAGTGGATGATTTCCACCCGCACCCGCACCCGCATCCTCAAAATCACCTCCACCTCAACCTTACCACTACGATTTTCCTTTGAAACATCGGCAACGCCTCCGTCCGACTCAAGACACAGAGCGGCCCGCTAGCCATCGAAATCCGGTCGCAGGATGTCGATGCTTTTGTTTATGAGACAGATTGGCGACCTGCCTGCCTGCACGGTTACTTTTTCTTTTCTCTCAATGTATTTACTAATCTACTCTGGGGTGTTAATTAGAACCCTTAATCCCGGGTCCAGAGATCGGGGAAGAGAAGTGTGTGGATGGGGTCATACCAACTTACATGAGTAGAATACAGGTATTGTAGTATACATACACACAAGCCGGGCGTGTGTGCAGCAGTGACGACCGACCCCCTGGGTTTTGCTTTACATGTGGGTGAGGCCGGGCAGAGACTGTCAACTGAGAGACATTTACGTTATTACAACGCTCTCAGTCTAAAAAGCAGAGCATGTAGGACTGCGCTCTAGTAAGTACTAACTCCCTATGTAGTGGTTATACCCCGGGCACGAGCTCGTCTCAAGGAAATACGAGAGCTCCTCCACGGTGAACCCCTATATAGCTATACTTCGTTAACCATAGTGTTTATAATCATCTAGCACTCGGTCTCTCGGTGTCTTTCTTGTACCTCTTACCCAGGTATGTACCGCACAGAGCTGTGTGTGTTATGTGATGCCATCTTCTTTAGGGCATGACGGGTGGTTCATCCGGTAGCCAAACATGTGGCGCTGCACATGGCATTGGTTAGTAATCTATTTGAACCCTTTTTTACTAGACCGGTCGAGTGCCAATCCATGACTCGGCCCGAGTATACGGAGGGTAGTTACGGTATTGTACAGACACAAGCCGAATTTCGGGACTAGATAGATGTGTAGATGCGTCTCTACTAAGAGGAGCTATGATAGATATTGTTAGCACGTCCACCACTAGATTGATCCAATTGATGTCATGCCAGCATGGTGTGACAACACGTGTGCGAGGTGGATTCAAGGAACGGTAAATAAAGCAGCCAAGCTTGAGTAGGTAGGTGCTCCATAGGTCCAATATTGGGGCCCTTGGTTTGTGTTCGATAATCCAGGACGGCCCGAGAACCCCTCTCCCCTCCCACCCCTTCCCCTACAGTTGTAATGCATGCATCCTTTTTGAAGGCAATATCAACAAACTCCAACCTCCTTTGCCCTCCTAACTATCTAATAGCTATATATGTAATAATTCCCACAAGCAAAATGATGAAAGAAAGAAAAACATGTAACGACGTAACATGCAGCGCAGTAAACTCCTTTGTACATCAAAACTCCAAAGAAATAAAAGAGAAAAGGATCGGGAAGATATATATCATCATCAATTCCCGGTCATCATGAAAAGAAAAAGCATTATCATAAAAAGCCCCTCGGTCCAGACTTAGGTCCATTGTCACAAGTAGTCCTTGAAATCGACCTTGGCCGATTCGCTCCCGCCGCGTTTTCCACGATCCTTCCCAGCTCCAGTCTCCCACTCTCATTAGTATCCCATCGGTTCAGCGAGACATCGTCCGATCCGGGTCGGTGGTCCAGGCGAATAAAATCTGGGCTTGTCAGAGGCGATATAGTTCGAGGTGATATTGACCCAATCGTCATATGGTCGTCCACGGGTGATCTAGTACTACGCGGTGACATTGGTGCATGCTCTATGATTCCTCGACCAAGTTGTAGTCTCATATTCGGAATCTGTGCAACCATATCGAAGTTACTAAAATTGGAGTTACGAAAGTCGTGGCTGTTCCTGCCCGGTGTTAGTTGCTTCGAGAGCGCCTCTATCACGGCATCGTCAAATTGTGGTTCTCGCGGTGATACGGCGGCGCTGCCGGGTATGCTGGCCATGCGGATCCAGTGCGGTGCTGTCGCGTCAGTTCCATCCCATATCTCGTTTCGATCGCTGGCACTAAAGATGGGCGGGCCCGGTCTTGGGTATGACCTGGTGGATTTTGAGAGGCCGCCGGAGGGGTTACGCTCTCGGCGGACGAGGAGCACCCGAAGAGCCGGTGCGCAGGCTACTATTATGCCAGTGGAGCACTCAACGGCGGTCCAAGCAGTGACTTCGGTGACATTTGCGGTTCTTGCGATCACAGCGACACGACAGATTGCAGCGAGGATTGTGAGGGAGCCGAGTGTGAATAGGACGATTACGCCAACCATTTTGCGGCGCGGGAGGTGGATGTTTTGGAGTAGTGGAAATGGAAGGCAGAATACTAGGAGAAAGCGATTTGAGCATATGTGCAGAGAAAGTCATGTAGTTAGATAGGGAGAGCTGGGGGCATACTCAATAGATCCGTGATAATAGTGCTACCAACTGTAAGAAAGAAAGGGGGCTCCTTGGCACTAGCAACACAAATCTCTGCTCCATCTAGAGACCTGTATATTTTACATGATAAGTTAGGACTGTGTTTGCACGTCAAGAGTAGAGTCTATATACTAGGAAACGTACCAGTTGCGCCGAATTGGATCGCACCAAAACATGTTTATAAAGAAGACCATAAAAAAGGTCGCAAGGCAAAGACCAGCAGTTATATGCAGGAAGCATCGATATAACGGCAATGTCCTTGGAATGACAACATAATAAAAACTTAGTATACCAGCTTTGATGAGCCATAAGTCGATGATATAAGGGAAAATAGAGTAATATATGATCTTGAATCTTTAGATTAGCTCCATAGCTTGTAGTACTGCGAGTGTTTGTCCCCCACATACCTTTAGAATTCGAACAGTCTTCTCTGGATCAGGAGTAATCATCGACATGTTACCGCGATATGAAGAACTAGGATGGATAAATCCTAATCGATTCAGTTCAACATCACAGGCGCAACAAACAGCAAAATTCAGCCATGCTATCACCACAATCCAGTCGCTCCAGTTGAGCCTACTACTTGGTCCGTGGAAAATCCTGACATAGAGTCTTAAGAGCACAAATATAAGAGCCAAGCCTGCAAAAGACCATTCAAAGGCCTATATAAGAATGATGGTGATTAATTCATATATTCATCTGACGAGCGGAAGAGAGGAAAGTTACTTACAACGGCCTGATTACCATTGAGCATAATTCTGGGGAACTTGACATTCCACTAGATAACGTCTCTCTTAGGTATTTTTTCTTGGAATTTTCGATGGGCTTTCTTTTTCTTTTACAAGTGTTAGTGAGTGAGGAGAAAGGAGGAGAAAAGTAAGCCCAAGAATTGTTGGTTGGACAGTCTTGGAGAAATTTGTGCCTCTGGAAAGTCCCGATTAATAGTGCGTGGGGGGGGGGGGTGGCGGTCAGAGCGGTAGTGGGTCCAGCGACAACTACCTGGTTATCCCCTACTCTGCCAACACCTGCCAATACTGCCACAGTCTGGTAGGTAAGTAATGAGTGTGGCTTTCTACCCAAAATCGTTTTCTGCTTCGCCAGTCTGTTCGGCCAAATCAAACCCTAGTAATAACGCGACCAAGACGCACAAGTGTCAAAGGTTGGTACTCTGTAAGACATCTGAGTTGGGGTTAACACTTATCAACCAGCTTCCCTGATGGATAGATGTTTACGCACGAATTACCAGATTCATAACAGTAAACATTACCTATCTAGACAGATATCCAGGTCCATGTACTCTCCTGGTTTGCCCATCTCATCCTATTCGGTACGCATGTGTAGATATCTACCTCTTCCAGGCAAAGAGTACTACTAGGTGGCAGGTAATAATAGCACCGGGCAAAATCGTCGGAATCAACGTGCAAGCCCGGTACTCTATAGTAAGTTAGATCTCTCTTCATTTAAAAAACTGAAACAACACGAAAAGAGAAGGTCAAACGGTACATCCCATATTGCATGCTCTTCTGGAACTCGCTAAGTTAGGCAGAATCTGCATGCCGACAGTCCCCAAACGAGACATTCGACTAGTTAATGCACGTCCACGTTTCCGGGAAAAATCGAAAAATCATTTATTTATTTCCTCGAATGGCTTTGAGGACCTTTTTCCAGCAGATAACCCACTCAGTCTTGCTTCCTTAAGATCTTTGATATAAATCTGGGTATATGGAAGGCAGTCAGCTTTGATATAGCGAATATAAATAATAGACCACATATGAGAGTCTGTTTCTTCAGCATTACATATGAACTTCAACGGCGCCTATAAGGGAGGTTTGCACAAGCTTTGTGGTGCTGGAGGGCGACATTTGCAATTGTGGGGTAATCGCAGAATTGCGCATACTAGCCGAGGTATGTATGATCCACCGTAATATACGGCAAGCCTGTGCCGGGAGGTAGAGTAATATATATTTCCCGGGAATCCCCGCTTCTAGAAGAAGTTCGAACTGCGAACGCGATCAGGGCAGATTAAGTGAATGACTTGTGCTCAAAGAACCTTTGATGGAATTTCCAAACAATTCTGAATTTCTGATTGGAATGGAGATACCGGATGGATTTATCGATTTTGTATCGCTTAACAACGTATCAGTCAGAAGAGTACATGTATGCAAATACTCCAGCTCTGTGGGAATGAGACGGGTATGCAGGAACCTTGGTGTAAGGATTCCCTTGCTATGTGAAATGGCTTAATATGTTCCTCCTTTCTAGGCTAGGGCTTCTTTATGATTAACGGGAATGGCCGAAAGAGAGCCTTCGTTACCGCAGGATCCCGACTTAACTGAATAGAAGAAAGAAAAAAAAGATAAAGTGCATATCCTAAAGTAAAGCAGACAGTATATTAACCTAGATACGCGAGTGCGATTACCCCAAACCGCCTGGAATACCTACGCAATTAATCTGATCATGACAGAAGCACGTACAACAGTGCCAGTGATATTTTGATTCCCTTTCACACCGGCCCATGAAAGGGGCAACGCTGGCTATCTGCTCGCCCAACAAATATTCACGATCACTACACGTACCTATGTATATAGCTAGGCTGTGAGAGCTCGGGCTTAGGTTTGACTGCGGCCGATGCCCTGAGAAAACCCCAGATATGCCCGACCACTCTTTCCGGTCGATCGAGCCTGTCCCCCACCGGGTCCTGTAATTTGATATATATGAATGGCCTTCGAATTCACATATTCCGAAGAATAAAGACTGCCTGTATCACAACTACAGCTCTCGCAAAGCTTGAGTTATATTGATTCCCCGAGATTTCACCGAGAAGGTGGGAGCAAGCCATTGCCCAGTGTCAGCGTCTGCGTCTGCGTCTGTAGACGTGAGGGCCCACTAACTGTAGCGGCCAATAAGCCCCTGCATACGTATGGCCATAACATTCAATGGATATCTGGCTACTAACCAAATTGGTAATTTCTCTGACTCTTAACATGACATCAAATCTTAACTCCAGTGATTCGGAGTGAATAACCCCAAACACAAAGTCTGTGTCGAAATATAAGACCTAAGTACATGTAAGCTCAGTAAAAACAGTTAGATCATCTGAAGCCTAAACTTTAAGTATCGAAGCTTGCTAGGTGGAGACCTACCTGAACACAAAGCTATGATACGTGAATGTGTTTTATATTAGGGGCGTCGAGCATACTGCGTAGCTACTCACGCGGCATATATATGTATGTAGGTACTTTGTCTCCATGGCCATCATCAACTCCTCACACTGGTATGTATCTTCTTCTCGCCTGCCGTTTATTCAACCAATTATTATCTTCACCCGCTATCCGAGGCTATTCCCATGGCCAGTTAAAGAATTCCAGATGTCAAAGATTATTATAAATCTAGAGTATGTGGAGTAGATTATATATCGATGGTTGAACCCCATAATGGGCCTTGGTGAACAAGAAAATATCCGTTGTTGACTAGCTGCCCATGTTGAATAATTTATGTAGATGGATCCGGAGTTCCACAGGCGTTATGGAGGAGACGTCTCTGTCTCTCTGCGTTGTGTGACGTACGTATGTATGTAGGTACATGTCTCCCACGTGCTCATAACCCTTGACTTTGCCATACCGCAGACACTCGATAAATTCGCTATCGCTGCGCAGGGGTTTTTTGGTGAGAGAGCCTCAAGGGAGAGGCTCGAGAGTACTTTCTCTCACCAAGAAATCCAACTGAACCCCTGCGCAGCGATAGCGAATTTATCGAATATTTTCGGTATGTTCCCAAAAAGGTGAATCAGCGTGCACAACAAGATGAGTAGGTACACATAATTAACCATCAATTCTATAAAACTGCAATCCTAAAAACTCGAAATTAGGGCACTGTGTATAATCCGGCGCAATCCCTAAAAACCTGATTACTCGCTTGATCTTTAGGCTAGTAAGGTTTTTAGCTCATAATAACTCAAAGTCGAACTATATCATATCAGCTATCCCCTCGAGCTCGGGAACCCCGCAGAAATAATATCATTGAGATCGGCCATGCTCTCGGATCTCAAACCTCTAGTCAACTCTAACCCCAAACTCTAGCCAGTGCATGGCCTTCCAAGTACAAAAACGTGCGCAAAACAGTTATACCTGGTTTTGGCCATAGCATGAGCTAGCACTTGTTCATAATGGTAAGGCCTCCAAATTGCACCGTTTTTCTAGGCGGATTGATGCTAACTTATTGGTAGGAAACAATTCTGCTTAGTACTTATCTCGGGGGTGTGAATCTGTATTCTCGGTGCCTGCTATATCCCTTTATATGGCTATTTCTTGTCTGTTTAGAATACGATTGCAGATCGGTTTCCTGAGCTATGTCTAGGTATACACGTATACTTACATACCTAGCTGACTACCTATAACAGTATCTGGAGGTCTTGTGGGACATATTCAACATTCTTGGTGCGCTGAATCTGTTGATATAAAGCTATATGTGATCTTTTGGTGCTCATTATATCTTATAATATGGAGAGCGCTGGAAACAAGAATGGCAAAAGCTCCTCGAGAGAACACCACTCATCGATCTACATACCATAAAGAGCGAGAGGACCACTTTAGGAATACAGTCGATCGACGTCGACACGACACATTCCTCTTCAATTCCATCCCGATGCATGCACGGGGGACTGAATGAACTCATGGCAAACAAACTTCTACAATTACAAACCCGCAGCTTGTTCAACCCCCAATACTAACAAAGAGTTCACACATCTGATTAAGCTCTCAGAGCCAACGTTTGCTCTCGTAAATAAGCAGTGTCGCACTGCAGAAGCTGAAACAAGTCGCTTGCCCGGTTACGGTAAACTCCGAAACTAGTACGAATGTACGACCCAAACAGCACCTTGCCCCCTTTTGTTATTTATAGACACTGATATTTATGCGTTAGATTTCTAGATATATTGACCTATGAGGTACTCAGTGAGTGAGGTGGAAAATGATAATTCTCGTATCTAATCGCGGGATTACACCTTTCCTGGGCTCATTAACGGCCCGGTGTTCACCTCATTGGGACTTGAGAATGCTCTTGATTACCGGTGAGAGTGAGTTCTGATCGACCGAGGGCTGGATTTAGAACATTCATAAGTTTGTTCGTCTGTTTGCCCGAATGTACGGATAAAGTTCTCGATGGTACAGCCTCGAAGTTAGAACATCCGTCAATGAAGTATCTTCAGTATCACGGGTTGACATGGAACGTGCATATTTGCCAGCAATAACGGCACAGGGCAGAAAAGGGTCAAAAATTCGGTATTATACTTGGTGTTTCCTACATCCTATACCGGTCCATGAGACTAGTTCGTTATATCAACTCAAAGCGTACATGTCTGGATCTCAACGGCTATTCTTAACCCTTTATACACTGATTAGTCTGGGAATAATGTTCCAGCAGGACGCATTTAGGATCCGGGGAACGGATCTTGGGATTAATGCGTTGGTGTTTTCAGTCCTTGTGTCGAGCTTAAGGTTAATTTATTACTGGTTTTTAGCTTCTTAGGTGAACGCTAAATTGGTTACAGATTATTGAGTGCTGATCATTGACTTTTCATGTTACCTACACACTTCACTGTTTGCCAGCCGCTAGAAGTTGAGCTGAATAACAGTGGGATTGGTAAAACTACAACTACGGCCCATCCTCATTGGGTATTCCCACTTCTATGCGGCTCCATATTATTACATATATGCATTGCGTCAATTAATCAAAGCTCCAGAGACTTCAGCGTTCATAACAAATCACTCGGTCATTGTATCGCCACAAAAAACATCAACGTGACAACGCCCCACACTGACTGCAAGGTAATTTTTCGGTAACCTGTTACTCCTTCAAGGATTAAGAATTTACACGATTCGAGATGCAGGGCACAACATAGGCACTCCGAGCAGAATTACAATTGGAACCGAACCCAATTAGGAGCTACTATCTATATATATAGTTATCTTCAATCGGGGAATTATAATCAATATCAATACTCGGCTTGAACGATCGAAAAGGTTTTCCAATCCTATGCTCAAGCTCCACTTCAAATTGTGGGAGACATGGATTCGATCTCTTATCGCTGTCACGTCAGGATACAACTGCTAGAGCTATAGAGGACCTATTGTTTTACGCAATTATTCAAACAAAGCCTTAAAACGGATTGTTAGTACTATTTGTAATCTGTATCATTACAAAAGCACGTGGGAATTGGCTCCTCACGTTAAAATCAGACCAGGAGCTTGCGGCTCTTACTAGGATATATTTGTGATATGTGATTGTGGAAGCTTAGAATCATTCCATCTTTCCTTACTAGAGTCTTTTATCTGCGCGAGTTGGACAGAAAGTCGAGCAGGTTGGACAGAAAGTCTAGCTGTTTTAGGGAGAGACTTGCAGCCGTTCAACCAATAAGATGTGCAGGACTTTTTGTCGAAGTGCTCGACTTTCTGTCCAACTCTTGCAGCTAAAAGACTCTACTAGCTTTACCCGAAGGAGCCGCGACATCGAACTGTAC